ACGTTAAAATGCCAGGGAGACTATAATCTGCAGATCATTATTTCTTTATGCTATGCTGCCTCTATTGTATTTTTATTTCTAGTGGGGCTGAAGGTAAATTCCCTCAGTATGACCTTTCACTGAGCAGCAGTTATTTTTAGTAGTTGCAAGGTTGCCGTGGCACCACTTCTTTTCTGGAAACATGTCTGTCTGGGAAGGAATTTCCAGAAGGAGCCCAAATTCTCCTGTGGTCTTTGGCAATTAGTCTAGTTCTATGATAGGGAACCAGAGAAGGGTTCTCTTCTGGCTGTTGTGGGAATGTAGTCTGTGCCCTGAATTTTGAAAAGCCTTTGTTTCTTAGTTACACCTTTTTTTTCATTTCTTACTGCAGGTAATAGAGAAAAATGCTGATCCTGAACAAATGCTGTTGTCTTATCTGCGAAAGAGACGTATCCTTTTCTTGGCTGTTCCCCTGAGTCACTCATTTGAAAGCCTTATTCAAGTAAAGTTCTCACAAATGATAATTAAAAGGTAATTTACCAGTTTAAGGAAGTTGTGACTCCTGTAAGATAAAACAACCGTATTAAATTATGTGTCTTTCTTAAGCCAAATACTCTTCAGTGAGCTGCTGTATTTTTAGCCTAGTTTCTTAAACAAAGTTATGCCATCAGGCATGATGTGTATGTGTGTATCTGTGTTCCTCCCCTCTCCCCACCTTAAAGAAACCTAAGAACCTTTGGCCAGTATACGTAAAGCTTGGCAGAACAGGAGTCTCCAAGTTTTCTGTCTCTCTCCCAGAAAAGGGGAGATCTTGTGATGAGACCCTGAGTCTGCTAGAATTTTGAGGTAATCTGTTTTCTTCTTACAATAAGAACTCCAAACACATTTCTAAACTCAAACCCCAGGTTTAATAGTAAGATATATGAACAAGTGTGTTTTTAAAACAGAAAAAAAAATTAGTTAGACACAGAAGTTGGGAGAGCTAGAGCTCTCACCCTGCCAGTTTTGTCTTTGCAGACAAGGCTCTTTCTTCCTGTCTTGGTTTCAGTCAAAAGCTTCAGAAAGCTCAGTGGCTTTCTGGGTTGCTACAAATTGTGCAGTACTTGCTCTGATCTTTTCCTCTCTTCACCATTTCAGAGGCCTGACTGTGTGCCTGCTCTCAACTGTTTTTAGGACTTTTCCAAAACGTGCTGCGTCACAAGTTCATGAAGCTGTTGCATAATATTTTGAACATGCGTAGGGACTCACAGCAGGGGGCAGGGAGCAAATGTGGGCAAGAGCAGATTCTTTCCTTTTTGCAGCTTCCTAGACTGTCTCATGAAACATTCCTACAGGGCAAGTGATGTACCATATGCTATAGAATTCACACAGGAGAGAGTTTTTGTGTTTGTCTCAAAAGAGAAACTTCAGTCAAAACATGTTTGTTACTCGTCAGTCATAAGGAGAATTCTGGAGCAGAGTAAGTTGCTGTTGTTATGGTGCTTATGAAATTATTCTTCAGTAACTTGAACAACTTCAGACTTCATTGGACTATAAAAAGTAGAATTATAGAGTCATTTAGGTTGGAAAAGGCCGTTAAGACCATCGAGTCCAACCATTAACCTAACACTACCAAGCTCACCACTAAACCATGTCCCTAAGTGCCAGTCTACCGTCTTTTAAATACGTCCAGGGGTGGGGACTTAACCACTTCCCTGGGCAGCCTGTTCCAGTGCTTGATAAACCCTTTTGGTGCAGAAAATTTTCCTCATATCCAATCTAAACCTCCTCTGGCACAACTCGAGGCCATTTGCTTTTGTCCTATCACTTATTACTTGGGAGAACAGACTGACTCCCACCAAGTAGCTCAGTACCACCCCTGTCACAAGCATTGTACTTCATTGGTTAAAGTGCATTATCTCACTGACCGATGTAACTCTGCAGTGACTTGCTCTGACACCTTGAAAAATTATTTAACCTTTCTGTATCATTGTACCCTGCTTATAAAATGATGATAAGATTAACTTGTTTTCAGGAGCTGTTTGGTTTCGCCATGCTATTTAAATATCAACTTGCAGTATTCCGGCCCTCTATTGCTTAGGTCTGTATGACGGTGTGCTGTTCCCTGGGATGCACCTGCCTAGCCATGTCTGAGACCCCTTTGTTAGCCAGGTAGAGGAACCAATCCTTTTCACAGCAAGCGTCCACAGAGAGTTGAGTTAACATAGCTAGGCAAATAGCTAACTTTACTAAAGAGATAAAAATTAGTGTCAGGGAACAAAAATATAGGACAGGAATATCTTATGCTGATGTTGCCAAACCCTTTGTAACGTGAAATGATTGCATGAATGAGCATAAGGAACTTCAGCATCTTCCAGTAATGTGTTTTATAAGTGCAAGGTACAGTATGATAACTCTCTAAGTGTACTGTCATCTTTGTTTTTTGAGGCTAAATGCCATAGGAATTGGCACATTAGACCCTTGTTATTAACTGGAAGGCCCATTGTAAATTAACAAGTAAATAGAAGTAGAAGAAGAGAAGAACTGTATCTTAAATTGTATTTGCTTTATCTGACAGGTTAGGATGTCTGTGAGAGGGCTCGGTAAAGCACTTTACAGTGGAATGAGAGGGCTCAGTAAAGCACTTTACAGTGGAATAAGTGGTAGAGCTCAATTAGATAAGACCTTTAAGCAATACATGTGTCTCAAAGCTTTACTGCAAGTGAAGAGTGCTAACCCTCACACTGACAAACTTTTTTTTCTGTCGATGATGTGGCGTGAAAAGAATGCGGCCTGTTTCCCCTCCATCATTACCAGCTCCTGGTAGACAGTTCTCTTCCTGCACCTTGTGCCAGCTCTGGAGTTCCTCAGACCTCTCCATGTATTAATTCCACTCATTAGGCCAGCAGAAAACTAACCCAGGAAACACAGAGGCTTTCAGCTGGATTAGGGACTCAGTTGCTAATTAGTCAGCTCATCATTAGTCAGCTCCTGGGAGGGACTGGTGAGAAAAAGACTTGGTGCAAAAGGTCTTGGGTTTTGGAGCAGATAATGTTGGGAAGAGGAAGGACAGAAGAGGAGGAAGAAATGGGGAGGAGGGCATCTTTTGGTGGCTGTAGAACTTTAAATTAGCTGTTTGTCAATTCACAGCTTTAGATTAGGCACTGTTCCAGGTTCATGAGCACTTCTCTCATAAGTTTGATCTTTCAGATGAGATGCAAAGTTAATATCCTGACTATAAACAGGCCTTCTGGGGAACACTGGGATATTTGGTTTAGTGTTGGAACCTCAGATACATAGCTATTTTGCCTATTACACGTTTTTCCCTTGGTTTCCTTTTCCTTTCCTTCACTTGGAAAACTATTTTTTACTTCCTCTTTCTGTCCCAACTTACTCGTCTTCCAAAAGAAGTCAGTGTCAAGTTTTCTGTTTTCTCGGGAACAGGATTTTGGTCATGTCATTCCTTAGCTTCAATCTTACTTTCACCAAAAATTTTAATCCAACATAGAAAAGAGTCTGACACATATGCTATCATACCAACCAATTCTGTGTTCTTGAGTAGTTCAGGAAAAAAGGTGGCCTCAAGCTTTTGAGCAGAATAAAAACCAAAATGAAACCTGATAATTTTTTTTTCCCTAATGACAGCTTTTCAGTCCGTCTTACAGGAACTAAGTATGGCTGTGGAGGAGGTGGCTGTGGTGCCTGCACAGTGATGATATCAACTTATGAGACAGTTTCGAAGAAGATACGGTATCCTTAACAGAAATTTTGAAAACCACACAGAATTTTATGACTGTAGATACCATTTCCAGATACGAAACAGTAAAAACAAAGTTGTAAAATCTGTACTTAATAGTAGAAGAATCCAAAGGAAGGGATGACTTTAATCCAAAAGAGAACACTGTAAAAAATACTGTTTATTCAGCTATGTTGTAAATTTGCTGAATTATCATGCTCAAATGCTTAATTTGCTCATATATGCTGACAGCTCCTGCAAGGAGTTTTTTCCTTAGGAGGCATACATTTAACACCCTTTGTATTGACCACTGGAATGTGGCTACTACCTGCAGCTCTGTCATATGACTGACAGGAAGATAGGGCAGGCAGAAGTTTGAGTCTTACCAGCCCTTTAATACTGAACTCGCTCACTACACCCCACCCACAAAAAGGACTTTGAAACTCAAAACCAGAGTTTCATTATGCTAAAAATTGGAATAAGTTACTTTTAAATAGAGAAAACTCCAGTCAAATTGTTAAATGGTAACATGCCATTGTCACTTTAACATTTTTTAGGTGGGGAAAAAGTAAAAATGCTCTGGTTGTTCCTTTTGACAATTGCATTGCATTGGCAATGCAATACAAATTAAAATCTTGAAAGTTATTATAAAAGTTGAAATTAAAACAGTCAGAATGACGCTTGAAACATTTCAACTTGTTTTGGATCTGGCTGAGATTGAGTTAATTTTCCTCATAGCAGCCCTCATAATGCTGTGCTTTCTATTGGTAGCTAGAAAGGTGTTGGTAACACAGCACTGTTTTGGCTACGGCTGAGCAGTGCTCACACAGCATCAAGGCGGTCACTCCAATATTTCCTCCCCTCACCAGTAGTCTGGGGGTGGGCAAGATATTGGTAGGGGACATAGCCAGGACAGCTGACCCAAACGGACTAAAGGGATATTCCACACCATATGATGTCCACTCAGCAATAAAAGCTAAGAGAAAGGAGGAGGAAGGATGGGCATTCGTTATTTATGGCATTTGCCTTCTGAAGCAATCACTGCGCATACCGAAGCTCTGCTTCCCAGGAAGTGGCTGGGCATCACCTGCTGATGGGAAGTAGACAATAAAATCTTTGCTTTCCTTTTGTTTCCATGTGCAGCCTTTATCTTCACCCACAAGGTGGGGGGTTTTTTCCATCTCATTTTTTCCACCTCCCTCTCTGTCCTGCTGAGGAGGGGAGTGATAGAGCAGCTTGGCGGCATTCAGCCAAGGTACACTCACTCACCACACAACTGTAATAAAACACTTTGTTGCTAGTGGTGAAAAGCTTTGAAGAATTTTCATTTTGGTATGTTTTTCCTATTTAGAATGATACTTATTTTACATCAGAATTTCCTTTGGGTCAGAAATTTGATTACAGATTTTCAGCAGTAATTCTTTACTGCCTGCAAATGACTACACCAATTTTGCCTTCCCCATCTTCCTCCTCCAAAATACACTTGACAGGTTGCTTGTGGGCAAGAGAGACAAGAGGGCAGTTAGAAAAGACTGAAGTATTGAGGAAGATATAAATTCTACAGAACTGTCCTCATAGATACCGTTTTCATACTGGGAACAAGAAAACTGGGAACTAAAGCTTAGTCTCTTCTCATTCCAAATGAAATGACTGCTTTGTAAATACAAACTATGTCTTGATTGACTGCAAAATAATATTAATGCATCTTTATTATAATGAAATAATATTCATGTTCTTTACTCTCCTTTATGATCCAAAGACATTATTCAGCAAATGCATGTTTGCTTCCCATTTGCTGCCTGTATGGTATGGCAGTCACCACGGTGGAAGGTGTTGGAAGTACAAAAACCAGGGTTCATCCAGTTCAGGTGAGGGTACGGTATTACTGTGTACAGGATTACTGATTTCTTCCTTTGTATGGGCTGGCTTTTACTGGCAGTGCTTTTAGGGCACAAGAATTTCACATGATGTTTATTCTCCCTGCTAAACTACAATAGAAGACAACACAAGTTCCTGTTGGTTGGGCAAGGCTGGTGACATGGCTAATGGTGGATCTTGCTTTAATACTGACAGCCTGATCAAATAGTTAGTATATAAAAATTGTTGTAGTGGATCAGGCTTGTGCTCTGTTTGGGCTAATGGTGCATCTTGGACAATGCCCTTTTAGCTGATGTTTTAGCATGAATGCAAAAAAGACAGATGTCCACTGAAAGTTAATTACCTTCCTTAGTAAGATGTGACTGGGCATCACACCCAAAAAAATTATTGTTATTTGAGATTGCTTAAATTGTTTTACTTAAAAAGTCTGATTTACCATGAAGACAACATTTAGTGTGGTGTCTCGCATTTAAGAGAGAGTTCATTAGAATGGTGATGTGTGCAGGAAGGAGTGCTATTTGTGGTGTTTCATTTCAGGAAAGGCTTGCCAAGTGCCATGGCTCCCAGTGTGGTTTCTGCACACCTGGAATGGTGATGTCCATATACACTTTGCTAAGAAACCACCCAGAACCAACTTCAGAGCAGATGATTGCAGCTCTGGCTGGTAAATATTGCCAACTTTTTAATTTGTACGTATGTCCTTGACCATTTTCTTCAGATACTTTGTGTATGTGAGTGCATATGTGTGAGTACACGTGCATGGATGTATGTATGTACTCCATATCATTGTGCTTCCCAGCAGAGTAGCTACTGGGTACAGACCTTGTATTCTTTGTCATTCTTTTCTCCTGGAAGATGAAGCACGGAGCTGCGGGTTGTTTCAGAGACAGGTGTTCAAATCATCCCCATATGTGTCTTTTGAAGTGCTTTAAATCAGATGTGCAAAAAGGATGTCATATTGGAGAAGTAGCTGCATCTGAAGGTCTCTCAGATCCCATTACATCTGGAGCTGAGAATGTCATAAGCATCACAGGAGAGCGCCTTTGTGGTTGGAATAAAATGGTCAAATAAGGTAGAGAGATGCAGACCATTTTCACTAAGGGAAAATGTGAGCATTTATTGCAGGTAAAATAGCCTTCTGTCATCTGTTGTGCTCTAGAGTCATGGTGGAGCCAAAGGCATTTCCTGTTACTATGAGGTGAACTTAGATGAAGGTGTAATGCTAACCTCCTTCACTATTAGAAATAAGTCAGGGGGAAGGAGAAGAGCATTTTGAGTGGGTGAAGAATATTGTAGTCAGTATTCTCTCTAGTGCAGCTTTCAAGTATTTGAGACTCCCCTTGAAACAGCAGCCTTTTTCCTCAGGAGCTGCAGGGTTCTAAGTTTCTGACACTGATCTTTTTTGTCGTTCAGAGAGCTAACACTTCTCCTTAAGCTTCAAAACCACAAACCTCGTATAATGACACGACATTTTAAAGTCACATGCTTTAGAACAAAGCTTTTTGTTACTGATTTCTGTTTTTCAGGGAACTTGTGCCGCTGTACTGGATATAGGCCAATCCTAGATGCCTGTAAAACCTTCTGTAAGGTAAGAAGTAGTGATGATAGGAACACTAGATCGTGCATATATATGTATACAAACCATCAAGATTTTCATTAAGATCATCTCTTCCCTCTGGTGTAGGTCTGAGTAAGGTGTATTGTGGCCTAACCTGTTACAAAAATTGATTAACACAAATTAACTTGGTGTCTAGCCTGGATTATGAAGAGTAATCTGAAGTAACTCCATGTGGTTTGCTGTGAGTCAGTACTGGCATAAAAAAAAAGCAGAATTTGGATCAACGTTCGTAGTAATTTATCATGTAATGCAATGTGTCAGAAACCTAAAGTGAAAGAAATGGGAGAGTGAACAGTGAGTAAAAGAAATAATGCAGCCTTCCATGTGTGCTTTCACAAGGTCAACTGAATGTCACATAGTATGAATTATTTTGTATTAAGGACTTCAACATCCAATGATTTTAAGCTCTTTTTGAATATCACTTTTTTAACACATAATCCTTCCAATTTAGCTTATTATTAAACTTAATCTAGAACTTTATTGAAATATAAAGAGACACTCTTACCAGCTTAAGCAGGCTTTAACTCATTGCCATTCTGGGCAATACTTCACTAGTGCAATATTCCTACTTTAGGAATCCGTTTGTCGTCAAAGGAAAACAAATGGGAAGTGTTGCTTGGATCAGGAAGATGATTTGTTTGACAAGGAAGAGAAGGTAGGGTTTTAAGTATTTCACCTGTCCTATTTGGTTATAAAACTTACAGAAAGAATATTGCATGGCTTTTCTCTTGTAATTAAAGTAAATGCAGTATACTCTGCCATTTTTATCTTCCACCTATTCACCTTACACAATATTATTTGTAAAATAAGATATTTTAGTATTCCTTGAAAGGCATTTGGAGATATTTCTCAAAATTAAGGATTCTTTGTGTATATTTGTATGAGGAGGTGATGATGTGGCAGATAGTTGGTATAAGGTAGTTTGGATTTCCAAAGCTGAGATTTGAGCAGGTCTTCAAGTTCAGGAATATTAATAGTCTCAGCTCTACTCATACAGTGATCATCACATTGTGCAAGAAATCAGGCCATATGTGGAACTGTTTTAAATCAAGGATCAGTGATGATCTGAATGTAACCACTGATCTCTTAGGAATCTAACCACTGGCTTGAATCTGAAGAACCGATGCACTCTTAAAAATCAGACTTATGATGAATTATTAATTTTCTGCTGACTTCAGTGGGACCTTCATGGTTTGGTTTTGGTTTTGCTTTTTTTGGGGGTGGTAGTGGAATGATGAGATGTGATAATGATGAGAGAAAATTCTTGGTCTTTGCTTGTTTTCTTTCTTTTTAAGGTTTCCACCAGACTATTTTCAACAGATGAATTCCAGCCCTTAGATCCCACCCAGGAGCTTATATTTCCTCCAGAACTAATGGTAATTTTTGCTGCTTCTAGACTATTCTTTAGCTCTATATTTTCCTTAGTCATTCATAGTTCATAACTCATTCTGAAGTCCTGCTTAGCAGTAATTCATCAGAAGAAATGTCATAATGTTTTAATATAAATTCAAAATTTTTTTTCCAGTGAGCTTCTTGAATATTCACGTACAAAAAATAATCATATTGGGAAAATGAAGTTGCAGAGTTAGGTATTAGGGGAGAATACAAAGAAGTAACCTAAACTGGGTTTTCATTGTAGTTCCTGAAGATATAAATGCTTCTCTGCAAACTGAATGGTCAACACTTTTTAACATTGGCAAAACAATGTGTTTTCCCCATTTTGTGGCTTAATAGTTTTGCTGGTCTTTTCTGTCAAAATGTCAGCCTCGGATAGCCACCCAGACTGGGAAGTGCTTAGCCCCAGTGATTAAAGTATGATAAAGATGTAAGTAGCTGAAATAATGGCACTGAAATGGGAAGTGTCAGGCATCCTTAATTACGGACAGCAGTATTTGCCCTAGAAAAACTGAAAGCTGTTTGCTTTACATTATTTTCAATCTGTAGATTCAAAGCCAAATTCTCTGTAACTGGCTGGCTGCTTATGGAGAACGGTTGGAACTGTGGAACAGGCGTTCTTGACTGTGTGTTTGTACCACCACTAGCTCAGAAGCTATTTCAAAGTGATCAGTGAACATTGCTAGAAGAGTGAGAGACATCCACATGCATGCTTAATCTAGAAAGGGATGCTGCTGCCAGTGTCATTGGTGGTATCCAAGCAAGCTATGCATGCAAACACCTCCCTAAATATTTTTAATCACTTTTCTAATGTTTTCAGCAATTTCAGGATCTATTCCTACATTATTTGCTTAATTAATTAATTGAAGATATTTCACCCATGCAGTCTAGAAATCCACCACTGTGCAAAGAGCCAGCATAACAGTCCTGTTTCTGCCCAAGTTTGAAGGATTAAGCAAAACTGCCATTGTTTCTTTCAACTTTCAGTCTACTGTCTATTAGACCTTGCACCTGTCTATATGTCTAAGTATTTACATCTGCCATATTTCCCTATCAGAGAATGGCTGAAAATCAACCAAAAAGAACTCTGGTTTTTCATGGGGAGCGAATGACATGGATTTCTCCTGTAAGCTTAGATGAATTACTGGATCTGAAAGCTGTCCACCCCAAAGCACCTCTTGTGGTTGGGAACACCAGTGTGGGTATGTGTGCAATCAGAACGGCTCCTTTTGCCGTAGTTCCAATGTGCATGGGAGGGGTGGGGCTACATTTATCATTCTTTTTGCATCTTCATGCTTAAGCTTGAGCTTAAGCTCCACTATGCTGGAGTTGTCATGGAAAATGTCTTTTGTCTACATCTGTTCCTATCTGGTAGGACCGGAGATAAAATTTAGAGGTGTGTTCCATCCAGTCGTTATTGCTCCTGCAAGGATCCCGGATCTGAACGTGGTGAAATGCACAGATGACGGTCAGTAGACTTTATTTTGTTCAGAAATAGGAGATTCCTCTGCAGTAAGGGATGCTGCTCCATTCCATAGTGCTGAAGGTGTGAAAAGCTGTGCAACTCATTCCTACGCATGGTTGGTTCTTTCCCAGGTCAAGGTGGCTGTGACCACCATCCAAGTGTATGATACAGTTTTGTCTTCATAACACAGTGCAGTATGGACCAGCAATATTATCTTGGGCCCCATTAGTCATAATAGTGCAAGGGTAATTTTTCTGGTAATACTGTTTCCAGTGTCAAGTCATGCAATATTTACTTTGTGATCTCTGTACCATGCTATGCTGTGTAGCAGAGAGAGGCCTACACAGAACCACAGAGAGTTAGCAACATTGCATGCTTGTCCACATTAGAAAAAAAGGCTGTGATTAAACTGGCATAGCTAACATGCATTAACTAATCTTGTTCTCAATCATAACATTCATAACAATCATAAACATCAACAGCATTGCTTATTGTAACTTGTTGTGCAAGTTTATTGCCAAAGTTTTAAAGAAAATCAAACCCTATATCTGATGAAAGTTACTTGCTGTATGCCTGAAGCCACTTTTTTGAAGTGGTAAACTGTATATGACAGTTCTGCCATTGCATTTAGAATATCTTTTTCATTTCAGATCAGTCATCCAGTTCTAGTCAATGACTAGTTTGTTCTTAGCTGAAAAGTGGTTGGGAATTGAAAGGAAGCAGGGAGAATATTTATTGTTTCTTTTACTCTATGAATAAAATCTAGTTATGAGAAGGTGTTACTAGTTCTAAAACGAGAGATATGCAGTTTAGCTTGCCAGCCAGAAATAGTATTTCTTCTCTTGAATCAGACTTAAATGCAAAACATGTCTTGATTAAACTTTTGGTTTAAATACACAAAATTTAGTATTGCTGTACTCAAGTAATAAAAGGCCATTTAAAAATTATATATATTTTTATTTATATTTTTATTGAATTCCAGTGTTCATTCAAAACATTCATACATTACATAAAGTCTATTAATGATTTTGAATAGAAAGGCACTGTTTGCCACTTTATAATATTGAAATTTTTATAAAGTATAATCTTAAAAAATTTCACAGAGAGTTAGCAACATTGCATGCTTGTCCACATTAGAAAAAAAGGCTGTGATTAAACTGGCATAGCTAACATGCATTAACTAATCTTGTTCTCAATCATAACATTCATAACAATCATAAACATCAACAGCATTGCTTATTGTAACTTGTTGTGCAAGTTTATTGCCAAAGTTTTAAAGAAAATCAAACCCTATATCTGATGAAAGTTACTTGCTGTATGCCTGAAGCCACTTTTTTGAAGTGGTAAACTGTATATGACAGTTCTGCCATTGCATTTAGAATATCTTTTTCATTTCAGATCAGTCATCCAGTTCTAGTCAATGACTAGTTTGTTCTTAGCTGAAAAGTGGTTGGGAATTGAAAGGAAGCAGGGAGAATATTTATTGTTTCTTTTACTCTATGAATAAAATCTAGTTATGAGAAGGTGTTACTAGTTCTAAAACGAGAGATATGCAGTTTAGCTTGCCAGCCAGAAATAGTATTTCTTCTCTTGAATCAGACTTAAATGCAAAACATGTCTTGATTAAACTTTTGGTTTAAATACACAAAATTTAGTATTGCTGTACTCAAGTAATAAAAGGCCATTTAAAAATTATATATATTTTATTTATATTTTTATTGAATTCCAGTGTTCATTCAAAACATTCATACATTACATAAAGTCTATTAATGATTTTGAATACAAAGGCACTGTTTGCCACTTTATAATATTGAAATTTTTATAAAGTATAATCTTAAAAAATTTATAACTACTCAAATAAATACATATAGTTACAGGTTGTCTTTCTAACGGTAAAAAGAATACCATATTCAATGTTAGGACTGTTTGGGTTCTTTTGCGAATACTACCTACCCATACCTTAGGAGAATAACTAGAATGTACATATGCAAAACGAGATCAAATTATGATGAAAATCATGTTTAAAAATAGGAAGAGAGAAATTTGAAGCTGACTCACCTTTGAGTGAAACATATCTAAACATGTACTCAATCAAAGTTGGTGCAAGGGAAGTAGTTGGAATGGGCAGCTGGGAGCAGAGAAGGGATTCCTCTTTTAGTAGAAGTGGTGAGCTATTAGCTCAGTTTCATCATTCCATGAAATTTTACCCTCAGTCTCCTGAAATGAAAGGTCACAGTATCTTTCATAGGCAAAGGTCCCTTTCCTTACATCTGCCTGTATTCCACATGAGCAGTCCTAGCTCTACAGTCTAAACATAGTTTAAAACCCAAGCAATAAAGCAACTCACAAGTTACAGTTTTGTAATCTTTTGGTTGCAGGTTTAACTCTGGGAGCTGCCTGCAGCCTCTCTCTAGTGAAAGACGTCTTGACAAATGCAATCTCAGAGTTCCCTGAAGAGAAGACAAAGGTTTTCCGTGCTGTCTTGCAGCAATTAAGAACTCTGGGTGGAGAACAGATAAGAAACGTTGCTGTATGTTGTGTGTTGCTTGCAATAACAATTGTAACAAATTGTAACAAATGTGAAATTCTCCTGACCACGTGTAAAACTTGCATTTTTAATTCTGTTTTTAACAGCGGATTTTCTATCAATACGTCTTTTCGGAGCTTTTGATATGTATAAATTTATGTATAGTCTGCATGTTATATTGTCACAACATAAATACGTGAAAGTGATGGAGAAAAGTGATGTAAATTTCTTTTTTTCAAGTCACTAGGTGGAAACATCATAAGTAGAAAATCAACCTCAGACTTGAATCCAATTCTGGCAGCCAGCAACTGTATGCTCAATCTGGCTTTAAGAGGTAAGCGCAGATAGCTTGTCTCTGTAGTAGTGCCAGAGGTACAGGATCCTATTGTATGGGGAGAGGGGAATAACAGGTGAGCATTGCTCAAGGCATGCTTTTCCCACTCTCATACAAGATCACGCCTGCAAGAGAAGCAATTTGCAAACAAAGAATGTGTCAAAGACTCTCATGTCAAGGGTAAGCATTCAGACCAACCAGGTCACATGTACTTCAGTGGGCAGTGAATTACTATAAACACTCATGAAACCTCACAATTTGTGTAGCTGTATACTACCTCCCCACCATCCTCGTAGGCTTTTTTCTATAATTGATGCTTTGCCCTGGTTTTAAAATCACCATCTGGCCCTGAGAACTCTGACTTCTCGTTCCTCACAGATACTTATTTCTGATACAAGAGCCACTAGTCCAGCAAACTTTTCTCTGCCCATTTCCTCAGTTTCCTTCCATCACCACATATATACTCCCCTCTACCTGCTCCTTTTCTTGTGCACTACCATTGGAAGGCTGATGAAACTGTTGGTAAACATGAGCTATCTGGTGGCCTGGAATTGCACACTCTTCCTTCTAGATGGCTTATGTCCTTTTTGTTCTTGATCTGGACAGGGTGCATGCTGCCATTTCAGACCATGTAATACTCTACTCAACACCCTGAAATACAGGTTCTTCAAGGGGTTGTTTCTGAGCCAGGATTTCTTGGAACAGATAGATACACAAAAACTTATGCTGTATGATTTCCATTACTTCTTCCTGCATAGTTTGTCATTGAGAGGAAAAATACTTGTCGGAATGTTGTTCAGAGAAGTGAAAGTACAAACATTTGCATCTTCTTATCATCTGATGATGAGCCTACCTATTTGAGTGATGAATAGGATCACTGATTGATATCTCTTTCTGTTAACCTAGCAGAACTTTACTGCTGGGAGAGGGTTTTAGGTGTTGTCACAGGTTTTTAACATGTTTCTTTACCAAATTGTAGTCAATGAAACATAGGAAAAGAGGATCATTCAAGAAAAGGAGGCTGCAGGATCACTTTTAGTTCTTTATATTGGATCGCAGTGTAAGAGAAAATGCACCTTCCTCAGAAAAGGAGGCTGCAGGATCACTTTTAGTTCTTAATATTTATATTAGATCGCAGTGTAAGAGAAAATGCACCTTCCTTGATACTGGCAGGCTCCCAGGTGGCATTGGACAATAATCTTTATGTATCTAAATCAAGTGTATTCTGGATGGAATTACAAAGGCAAAAATCCAGAAATGCCAATGCTGCTATTCTTAACGGTGTTATTTTTCAGATTCACACTTCAGCAAAATAAAATTCCTTTACTAAAGTTTTGCTGTCACACTAGTTGTATTTGAGGAATGCAATTGTAATGCTAAATGATATTCTAGGATGAGCAGGTTACAGTGTCATCATCACATGTAACATGAAAAACATGAAGAAAATAATCTTGCTGTAAAGCAGACAGTCTTGAATTATCATATTCATTGAATGTGAGGGGAGTATTTTAATAAGTGAACCTTTTAAAAATGGCACAGAAGATTATCTGGTTATAGAAACTCTTGGGATAGGTCAGGGCTACTGCAAGATAAGTATTGTCTCGCAATAAGAAATAATTTATTTAAAAATGCATTGGATCCCTCAGCATGTGAAATGTGCAAAGGATGCAGAAGACTAGTAAAAAATACACTTTGACTTCATCTGTCAGACACACATGGTTAAATTCTACACTGGTAAATCACTGTGGATTTTTTTCTGTACAATGTTTATGCCTCTGTGTTCTTGCAGAACAACAATGCTACTTGACTGTTGTGTTACTGGGACAGTTGCGGTCCTACCAGCAAAACTTGAGCCAATGGAGCTTGTGTTTAATTAATAGAATCAATTATATGTGTTAAAAAGTTGCATTTCCAGAAGGCTTGCTAGGTTAACTGTGTAGTGATATTGGCAAACCCGATGTAGCATAAATTAAGTTTAAGTGTTCAAAGGACTCTTGCAAGTTTAGGTTCCTTGCAGAATTTTGTCCTTTTCTCTATTGAAAATCCCATCTTTAGTAGTGTATATATTGTAGAAAGACAAACATAGTCCCTTTTAGAATAATCTATCAAAAAGAGAAGGGAAAAGGCTATAGCATTTATTCCCTTCGGGACTCCTAGAAGTGTTCAGAATCTCAGAACAAAAACAGAACAGTAGTTTTTTATTTATTTTTTTTTTTACTTTTGCAGCAGTTCTCTCCCATTCAGTTTTCTTCCTCATTCTTTGGTAGTGATGACAGTAGCTGCAGAGATTTGGAACAGATTGACAGGAGTGGGGATGGGATCATCGTGGCAGTATCAGAAGGGAGGATTATGGAAAGGGGGTTGATCTCTGGGCACTTTCTTAGGACTCTGGTGTTATGATACTATGGAAGATAGAGCAGTCATTTGTATTTATAAAGCATACAACTGATAAAGCATACAACTGAAAACTCTGCAGTTATTATTTACTCGGGAAGGCTGCAGGAGTTTCTTGCCAATTGAAATATGATTGATGTATATTGGTTGCACAATTGTACAGAAGTTTCTGCTTTGGGGATATTTTTTTTTAGGAAGAAAGCGACAGATTCCTGTGAGTGATATTTTTGCAGATGGAATTGGTAACAATACCATTATGCCAGAAGAGATCTTAGTCTCTGTCCATGTTCCCCATTCTAGGAAGGTAAGTTCCTAGTTTATTTAGATTTGCTTTATGCAGAGTTAAAGACTATTAAATAAAGAACAGGAGGGGGCATAATCCCTATGTTTAAAGTAACACTGTTACTGCTCACTTTCTGGGTTCCTTACAGTTGATCCTGTCAGTGCCATACTATCTCCCAGTTTCAGCCAAAACCCAACTCACATTAAGAGTGGTATTTAGACAAAACTTTTTAACTGGCATTGTGTTTGCAAGAGTGGATATGGGATCTTGTAAGAGAATTATGGGACATGTTATCTGAGTACTGAAGTTTCACAATTCTTTGAAGCCTCTAAGCTTTTGGTCTTGTTATAATTACAACTCCACTCCACAAGATCCCTGCCTTCCAGCTATCTACCATGACAAAATCTAGGTCACTGTGTAGATGATGGAAGATTGGGGGTGGGCTGCTAGAAAATCAAAGATGCTAAAGCTACTGAAAGGTCAAGAGAAGGAAGTGTATGGTCTTGAATAATCAGGAAGTTGAATTTATGCTCTTCATTTTTTATTGCTTGCTTCACATAGTGCAGTAACAAGTTCTGCTTTCAGATACTTACATGTCTGCAGGTTACCCACTTCTGTCTGGTCTTGCCCAGGGGGAGTATGTCTCTGCATTTCGACAAGCACCAAGACGGGAAAATGCTCTCCCAATAACCAATGCTGGAATGAGAGTCCTTTTTGAAGAAGGTACAGACATAATAAAGGATTTAAGCATTTTCTATGGAGGTGCTGTCTCAACCACAGTCTGTGCAAAACAAACCTGTTGGACACTTATTGGAAGGTACAATTTCTCTGCCTTCTCTATATCTCTGAATAAAGGGACTTTGAAAGCTTGGGTGTACTTACTTGGAGCATGAAAGTACAGAAAGATTTCAGTTGCCTGGCTGATGCCACATATATTCAAGTGAATGATCTGGTCAGACTTGAATGATGACTTTTCAGGATTGTTACAATTTGGAGTCTGCACGTGGGTGCAACTCTGGGGTGAAATGTGCAGAGAGGTATGAGATATGAGCTGTGAGATAGGTGGATGAGGTATATGTATTCAGTTGTGGACCTGAACCCAAGCATTGGTAAATGATGCTATATTCCATAGGTTTGATAATCCCCTAGTATCAGTGTTGTAGAGTCCTTCAGTTTGGCTTTAATAGATGCAAAGTTTGAGAACTTCAGATGTGGCCAATAAATTTAGGAGCACAAATCAAGCCTTAACCTTTTAAGTAACTCTTCATCTACATGATCCTAATAATCTCTGAAGTTAATCCCTGAAATTCCCTCCCACTTTGCAGCATCTTTCCAAGGTTTGGGGGAAAAAAATTACAAATAATTCAAGCAGTGTAAACCCATTTATCTAAACACTCAACTGTTTTACCATTTAATAAGCAACTGTTTCACTAGTTGAAGTATTCATTATTTTTTGTTCCTTTACATGATTAAATTTATTCTAAAAAATACATATTTTGATACCTAAGGTTGTGTAGCTGTGGAGAATTAACTGTGTTGAGATACTTCAGGGAGACAGCCTTTTCAGAAAATGTAACAACTATCCAGCAGTAATCAGGTCCGCTGAAAGCATCTACAGTTTGCATCAATATCGTTATCCACTTTTCCTTAAAGATAGGATGGTATCTGCAGAATAGCAATAACCTATAAGACTGTTAAATCAGCTTTAAAGCTGTCATAGGTTTTATTTACTTATTTATTTATTTTTAAAAGGCTGGCATAGCACTCAATTCCATTGACTTAAAGGGCCTTCCTTCTTTGAGCAGTATTGACTTACACGGTTTCCAAAATTGCAGTCCATTATTGGAATCAATATTTTGGCTTCATTGTGAGCAGGATTATGGCTGTGGTCCATGGTACAAATGTATTACTGCGATTTGTATTTATTTTTTTGAGTCCTGGTCTGATTGTATCTATTATTCTTCCTGACAGACACTGGAATGAACAAATGTTGGATGAAGCTTGCAGGCTAGTTCTTAAAGAAATTGCTCTTCCAGGCTCAGCCAGTGGTGAAAAAGTAGACTATAAGAAAACTTTGATAGTCAGTTTCTTCTACAGATTTTTCCTGGAAGTATTGCAGTCATTAAAGACAACGGTAAAATAGTTCTCCATGTCTGCTTTTGTGCAAGCAAATGAAAGGATTTTTTTCTATCTGTTGATGCTTGCAATTTGTACAATGTGCTAAATATTGTCTTTGGGGTTCAGATATATGGAAGAATGTAAGTGCTTAACTCCCAAAGAGATTGATGGAGAGATGCCCATTTAATGTTTAAGTGCTCACATATCTTTACCTTGGAGGTTAGTCTTTAAAAAAAAAATTGAGCAATATTAATGCAACAATATATCAGTATTGAGCTCCCAGACCCAAAGAAAACATACGTGAGATCTTACTCCATCTGTCTGTAGTTCAAAACATAAATAGACAGCATAGAAATAAAGGCTTTGGAAAGCGAGTGTAGGTGTTAAACCAACCCTGCTTCCTGTATGAGTTGGGAGAGGAGGACTCTAAAATTTCACTTCCCAATACATTCTAGGTGTAATTTGCTCATTTTTTCCTTAAATCTCTTCTTATGAGGAAAAATATCCCTTTTGCCTTTTTCTTCTGTGTTACCTTAATCTCTTTCCTCTGAATTACCATTACTAGGTAATTTACTATCTCCAGGAGTGATTCTGTGCCAATTTTGATCAGACCCCAGAACAAAGCACTTCTGACTATACCCGTTTTATGTTGCTTACTTTAAACAAGCATGTTTGTTGAATCCAATATATTTTTAAATATTATTTACTGAAATATCAAAACTCTACATTGTTTTAAAATTGTTATTTTAGAGCCTTTCTAGCTTGTGAGAGTCTTGAAGGAATTTCCAGTATGAAGAGTTTGTATTTGGTGATTTTAGTTGTTAGCTTTTTTAATTGGAATGTTCAAAATGTGAATTTTAGTAGTAATTCACTTCCTTTTCAGGATCCTTGCCACTATCCTGGCATACCTATGGAATACAGGAGTGTCCTACAAGATTTCAAAACCAAAATGCCCCAGAGTATCCAAATATACCAGGCAAGTGATCTTATTCTGAGATTGTTCTGTGCTTTGTAAGACTTGGTAAAAAATCATGATTCGAGCATGACCCTTGCTGTGAAGCTCAGGTACAAATTTTCCAAAGGATTGAAGGCAAGAGGGTGGCTATTCATGCTTGATTTTAACTGTATGTCAATTAGAAAAACCTTTTCTGTAAAAATAGACTCATATGGGTATACTCACTTCTTCTAAACAGTTCTCAAAAGATAAACATGCTGAAAAAACTCCATTGTCAGACTGCTTAAATTTGGTATATTGCAGTATGCAGCCCAATTGGAAAAAAATTAGAAGAAAATAAAAAAGATTGAAAACCCCAAGTCTATAGCTATTGCTATAGTATTCTTGTCTCATGCTACACTTTTCTTAAGATCTCAGAGAGCTCTTAGGTCTTACTGTAGGTTTAGGAATGAATGATGGCTATCCGAGCAAATTAATGAGTATTCAAGGAGAAGTCAGCAGTAGAGGGCAGCAAAGAACACCTTTTGAATGTTCTGAGCTCACCCTTGTGACTAGATCATGGTGGGAACTCGTGCAAGGATTTTTGATATTTTGATACCCTCAATACACAAGTAGAAGTCTCCAGTTTTTGAAAACCTAAAGAAAATTCAAGTGAAATCTAGGTAAACATATTTTTTTATTTTCAGATATTCTTTAGAATAACATTTTAGCTGTAAATACTTTAAATTTGTTCAAGTTGTTATCTTCAGCTTCCTTCAGAGTTATCATGCAAAAAAAGATGCTACAGGCTTATAAAAGGGGCCAGGATCAAAGGAACTAGTTCTTTATGACTTTCAGCAATTTCTTCCCCAGCTGCAAGACAGTGACTAAACAATATAAATGGAAACTCTTCAAATCTGTTGGCACTGAGCAACAGAAATTATTTAGAAACCCAGAAAATGTGTTTTTTCGCTTCAAATTTCTATCTAAATTTTGGAATTCCCTATCTTTTCTCTGGAGTACTTTACCTGAACATTAGTAAGCTCTTAAATTTAAGGGTAAAAAAAGAATGTATATCCTGAAAGATATCCTGGTCATTCTGTTAGTGGAAAATTTGAGATGGTTTGGTTGAGACAGCCATTTGAGGAACTTCAGGCAGTCAAGTGAAAAATGTCTGTTCTTGGCCTTAGGCTAATAGCAGAAAGTGTGCCAGAAAGTACAGGCGGTAGAAATGTGTAGCCAGAACACTTGCGTGATGGAAGCTATAAAAGAAAAAAAGGGTGTGAGCAAATAATTAGTTCTAAATGCAGAAAAGGAAAAAGTTAGTGTGAACACTGACCCAGAAATTGGAAAAGTGTTCTGGAAGTTGGCAACAACTAGCTGGTGTGGCAGAATTAACTTTCAGGAAAGACTTAGCAAAATAAGGTTAATAAGGCACTAAATTAATACACAGGTGCAAGGAAATGTAATCAGGAAGGAAATATTTAAACAACATTTTCTCACTGATTTACATTGATCAGTTGCAATCTTTCAGTGAGGAAAACAAATTCTAGTAATCACTGCAAATAGCTCAAACTACAACACTGGACACAGGTAAAATAGAGAGCAGAATCTTGTGAAAATAATTCGGAAAAGCTTCATGACGCTAATCAGTAAGGAAGGAAACTGACCTTCTCAAAAGTAGTGCTGTTTGTATCGCTTTGGTGTAAACGATTAAGGGAAAAAATTCAAATAGACAAACCTGTGCAAGGCTCTCAGAAGGCTCCCTAAGAGAAGAAATTGAAGAAAACCCCAGGAGCAGGAGTCAGGTCCTGCATCCACATCTGTTTTCGTTATTGAACCAAAAGATGATAATATGAACAGTTGTTCCTTCGTTTGATTTTCTGATTACTATAAGAATAGCATGATTATTATTTTTTTTAACTGTTTAGGGGTGTGGGGTGTGTATTTTTGACTGTACAGGACATAGAGCCGGGTCAGTCTCCCCAGGATCCTGTAGGACGGCCCATTATGCACCACTCTGGAATTAAGCATGCCACCGGTGAAGCAGTTTACATTGATGACCTTCCTTCTGTGGATGGGGAGCTCTTCCTGGCTGTTGTCACTAGTTCCAGAGCTCACGCTAAGATTGTGTAAGTGTTCAAAGTGTATCTGAAGAAAGTGTTGTTATGAATTGCTGCCTGAGATTTTTAGAGCAGACTGATCAGCTATGTGTGTACAGAACAGCATGCCTGATACCCGCACTGGCGCAGGTGCCAGAAGCAATATTGTCCCTCTAGTAGAAGGCTCTGTTTGGATTTAAGTGTCTTACTCCATATTACTGTACTAAGAAGATTGAACTCTTTCTGGTCCATGAACCATCCTAGAGCTAGCCTAGAGCTAGCTGCAAAGTCCTGAGCTGCGCAGTGCAAGCAGGCACTGAGACTCAGCTTTACCAACATAGCTTTCAAATATCAACTCTATTCTGAAAAAAGAAAATTGTTCAAAATGTAAGAAATAGTGTTGCAACATTGCAGCAACGAGGTAGCAAAACTCATGTGAGGACTTACAGGAGAGGAAGATGGGAAGAGTATTTTATTTTGAAAGGAAACTGTTTTCACTCATGTTTTTACACTGCCAAGATACACCTATTCTAGCAGCTTGTTCAACATCCAGGCACCAAAATGCACATATCCAAGTTGTCTGCCCAGCATTTAGGCACCAAGACATATCCAGATGGTCTGGTCAGGATTAATTGTGATGACAGAGAGGACTGGGGATCCTAGCTATAGAGGCCTTGTCATATTTCCTGGCTTATTCTTAGGTTGGTGATAGTATGCTGGGTTTGGATGTGCTCTTTTTGGTGCCATCATGGAGCTGATATCACCCCCATCTCTGTGAGTCAGTAGGATTTATCCACTCTCCTTTGTCTTCTGATCTGGGCATCCAGAGGAGATGCCTGTAGATGTGCTGGGATTTTGATGACCTGCTAAACTAGGTGCTATCAAAACATGCCAGTCTTATAGACCTGCCATTCTTGCTGATCCTTCTACACCCATACATACCCATTCATTCTCCATTTATACTGGTCTTGCCATTTCTATTATAATTCTCTACATGAACTCTCCATTTGTAGATGCTTATTTATCAGTTTGATATCTGTGTAGGCTGTGAGGTCTTAGAAAGTTGCAGTTGTAGCCATGTAACTGTGCATTGATTTTTATTAAACCAGTGCCGTTCAGGTAGCTTAATGGGCCAACAATTTCCCTGTTGCATCTAGAGTATTTCCTAGAAATGAAGTAGGTTAGTAGAATTTTTAAATTGCCTTTGACCTGCACTTCTTTGCATGCCAGAGAGAGAAGGAAAAGATATGCCTGAATCTATGAGCAGGTCCTGGCAGTACAAGAAACATATCTCTGTATTGTCTTCCCCTTCCTCTGTGCAACACTTTGTAAAACTAATGAATTACACTGCTCTCTTCCCATATCCCAATCAGATCTATAGATACCTCAGAGGCCCTAAAAGGACCAGGTGTATTCGATATCATAACAGCTCATGATGTACCAGCTACAAACGAGTTTTACTACTCCAGTGATCCAGAGATTATATTTGCAAGAAACAAGGTATAACTACAATCTTTCTAAAAAACTTTTCTTCATTTTTACTGTTTTTCTGGTTTTCTTCTGATTTTTATAATGAAATTTTACTCGCTTACTCTTGAATTTCTGTATTGTATGTATGTCAGGGAATCACTTTCGGCATATAACAAAGTAAATTTTTACATTTTTTTCCCCACTCCCTTTTCAGCTTCAAAATAGGCACTGTGCATTACATTCTGCCTAGAGAAAAAAATACATAAATCAGAAGAATACAGATTAAACCTCACAAAACCATCTGAGTTGTTGGAAGAGTATATTTCATTGAAAGTTAGGTTCCCAAATCACTTATCAGTTGTTGAATACTGTATTTTCCTTGATTCCCCAGTTATACTGGTATTTCTAATAATTTGTTAACTTCGTGGATGATCTAAAAAATATAAAGATCCTAAGTCAAAGCAAAATTCTAAAAAGGAAACATGAACAGTGGTTACATGAAAGAAGAATATCAGCAACACCTATGGGAATAATTTGAATCCACTGGTTCTCTTAAGTGATGTGTATTTTACAGGTGATTTGTGTGGGTCAGATTGTCTGTGCTGTGGTCGCGGATTCAGATGTCCATGCCAAACAAGCAGCTGCAAAAGTGAAGATAGAGTATGAAGTGCTGGAACCAGTGATCTTAACAATTGAGGTACTAATAATTTCTTTTCTCTTGCTTTTCCATTGTTTTATCTATATAATTAATGGAAGAAACCGTTCACGCCCTTCACTTGCTTTTTAAACATGATTTTCTAAGGAAATAAGGTGAATATGAACATCCAATTAACTAGTCTGTCAGCCTCCCTATAAATAATTTTTCGACCTTTTAGATAATTTTGACCACTTGTGATAGCTAGGCAACAGTCTCAAAGGTATTAAGTTTCCTAATAATAAACACTAGAGTAGAAAATAAAAACTCTTTTATTGTTCCCAGTGAGGAAAAGGCAATGAGCACACTGGTTGTTTATAATTATTTTGGTAGCTATCAGTTGGTCAATCAAGGTATGTATATTGACTAAACGATCAGCTCCTGATTATTCTGTAGGATTTTGTGTCTGTTGTCAGGCTACCAAGCCAACAAAGTTAGACTGGGGACTTAAAAAGTGTTGGGGGAATGTGAGGGGAAAGATGTTAGGGATATAGAACATTTTAGAAATGTGATGTGGGAGTCATAGGGGAAACAGACTTATGCTAGGTTAATGAGATGAGCGGAAGTAAGGAACTAAAGAGGCATTTGCAGGAAACTAGAATTAGTTCTGGTAGTCAGTTTTCGGCTTGTTTCCATAACGTGTGCGGGGTGTAACAACAGTCTTTCTGTTATAAAAATAGAATTAGTCTCTTTTTAAAGACTGGCAAGTTTGACTAATATTTCATTATAGTTGAAACTCCAATGAAGTCTTATTAGAAATAAAGCAAATAATAATAAATAGATCCTAATTTTACTTAATCCTTGTGATTTCTTCCTCTCTTAATGGCATCACTCTTTGGATGATGGGGTTGTATTCTTATTCTGCGCTCTCTTGGTCACTTGCTAGGTGTATGAGAGGGAAGAGCAAGCTGAATAAACTGAATGCATTTCCTTCAGGAACTGCTATCATCAGTAACACAAGATACATTGGGAAAGAATTGCTGGAACTGAATATACAAACTCATCAACAATGACAGTAAAGTGATGAAATACAGTTGTTCATTGGCTTTGATAGCTTCTGGTTCAAATCTCCGAAGAGAATGGTGTTTCTCCTGAGAGTAAAATGCCACGACAAGCTGAGAACCTTTAAAATACTTTAAAAAATTGTTTCTCTTTTTCTCCACTGCAGGAAGCTATAAAGTACAACTCGTTCTTTGAGCCAAAAAGAACATTAGAACAAGGAAATGTTGATCAAGCATTTGAAACTGTTGATAATATAATTGAAGGTAAACTGCAGAATACATTTGGTGATAAGTTGTGGTCAGTAATTGGGTTTGTCTGTCTGTTCTTCAAGTCCCAGTTCTACCATTTTTCCATATAGCCATTAGGCCTGAGAAAACTCTTGGTCATCTGGAAGAAACTGATTAAACTTAGTGGTCTTGTGGTCCTACTACTACATTCAAGCTTTCTACATCCTCTGTCCTTGAAACACAATCTCAGAATAATTAGGTTGGAAGGGGGACATCTAGTCCAACCTCCTACTTATAGCAGGTGCAGTTAGAGCAGGTTACTAAGGGCCATGGCCAGTCAGGTTTTGAATACCTCCAAAGATGGAGAGTCCACAGTCTCTACAGGCACCTCTTCCAATGTTTGACCACTTCCATGGTGAAATTTTTTTTCCTTGTATCGAGTTGGAAATTTTACGTTCATTGCCTCTTATCTTTCCACTGTGCCTCTCTGAGAACAGCCTGGTTCGCGCTTCTCTACACCTTCCCGTTAGATAGTTGTAGACAGCAATAAGATCTCCCCTTATACCCTTTTCTTTTTATGGATTAATAAATCCAGTTCTCTCAGCCTCTTCTGACACATCCTGTGGTCCAGCCCCCTCGCCATCTTGGTGGCTTTCTTCTTGACCTGGTCCAGTATGTCCATGCTTTGTTTAATTTATATATGTTTTATTTAATATTGTCACCATTTGTAAGCAATATTGTTCCACTGTTAATCAAATTCTGTTGATGCCACTGGAAGAAGACCAGTTTAATCCTGCAAGGAGTTTCATCTGGGGTTTTATTTTAGATGTTGCTCCTTCATACAAGAAGGATCATAAGATTTGACACCTATTACCATAATTTACATGATGATGGACAGTTAATTCTTTCATGGTTCATTTCTTCTGTTCTTTTCCCTCAGTAACACTTGTGTTTTTCTCTTTGGATCAGGGGAGATTCACATTGGGGGACAGGAGCACTTTTACATGGAGACTCAGAGTGTGCTTGCTGTTCCAAAAGGCGAGGATAAAGAAATGGATGTGTATGTGTCAACACAGCATCCAGCAACTATTCAGGTAATACAGGGCATTCTCAGAGAAAGTGGTTGAAACTGACAGTAGAGTTTTTTAAGTTTGGTTTACAAATCCATCTTAACAGTTTAGAAGCAGTTGGAACATGAAATTGCACATCTGGATTATTCAATGACAGCTGCTTTGTAGTACTGCTGTATCCTGATAAACACTGACCACTACACCATGAGGACAGGAGGAAGTAAAAGTCTCTCGTTTCCTTTTGAACAAAGTACCTCATGCCGCACTATTGTAGGCATGAAAAACTCCCTGTGGAGTGCTGAGGCTCCTCTACCCCCATTAGCTTTCCATTGAGGTGAGGAGCAATCAGTACCCTGCAGAGTGTAGCTGTAGGTGAGACTGCTGCTCCAGTCTCATCATATCATATCATATTGTCATATCAGTCATATCATAATCATAGAATGGTTTGGATTTGAAGGAACCTTTAAAGATCATTTAATACAACCATGGACAGGGTTATCTTTCACTAGATCAAGTTTCTCAAAGCCCTGTCCAACCTGACTTTGAACAGTTCCAATGATGGGGCGTCTGCAACTTCTCTGGGCAACCTGTTCCAGTGTCTCACCACCTTCACTGTAAAAAATGTCTTCCTTATGTGCAATCTAAACCTACCCTCTTCAGTTTAAAACCATTGCCTCTTGTCCTGTCAGTACAGGCCTTGGTAAAAAGTCTTTGTTTCTTGTAAGCCCCCTTTATATATTGAAAGGCCACAGGAAGGTCCCCTGGAGCCTTCTCTTCTCCAGGTTGAACAACTCCAAACTCTCTCAGCCTTTCTTCACAGGAGAGGTGTTCCAAGTCCACTGATCATTTTCATGATGGTAAATGGTAAAGCAAATGCTGATATAGCATATGGTCTACATAGCAATAGCTGTGGTGCATGAAACTGGTAGTATTTGAGATTCAACACTGGCATTTTGTGTTCAAAGTCCAGGTCAGCTCCTTTTGTCATCTCCATTATTATTTTATTGCCAATAGCCACGAATCCTGAAGAACTTTATAGTTGAAAAAATAATTTGAAGAATATTCCTGACACTAGCAAGACCTTAGATTATTAAAAAACAAATGGTTTTATTTGAATTTAAAATTAAAATAAAATTTATTATCTTAGTAATAAAAATAATTAAAAATGTATTCTAATCCCTTTTTTAATACCTGAAGCTTCTTACTGTTTAGGTACTGAAATACAAGGGTATTATTCTTCGCTTATGTCCATGACAATTTCAAGGCCTCCATGATAGAGATTTTAAATGTGAACACTGCTTAGTCTTTGTTGTTGTCTTTCTTGCTTTTTAACCTAGGGTAAAGGAAAAATTATTTTAATCTGATTAAAAAAAAAAAACAACACCTAGAAACACTTATGGAACCCTTTTGTACAAAAGGTTTTTATTTTGGAATCTAACTTTTAGACTTAGTTTGAGTTGGCATGAAAGATTAAAACTGTTTTTACAGGAGATGGTAGCTGCAAGTTTAGGTGTTCCAGCCAACAGGATCATGTGCCATGTTAAACGAGTTGGTGGAGCTTTTGGTGGGAAACTCCTGAAAGCTGGCTTACTGGCATCAGTTGTTGCAGTGGCAGCAAACAAGTAAGTGCGGTGTGTGTGTATTGGGATATGAAGAGAAAATGGGGTGAACAAGTTCTGCATTTTGGCTAAAATGCTTTCTCCTTTCCCAAAGTTGCTAGCCAAAATTCATAAAATCCTGACTGTTCACATTTTGTTCAGTGCATTTCTTTGTTTTGTTTTGTTGGACTGCTTATGTTAAGCAGCTCTAGCCTCAACTAAATTAATGGGACTTGAAGAAATTGGTGTTAATATAAGCTAGAAACATTCTTGAAGTGATGGAGCATTTCAGAAGGACCAGTTCCTAACTACTGAGGGTTTGTATGTACATTCAAAACATGACATTAACCATCCAGATGTGAACTTCACTGGCATAGCAGGATGCAGAAGGAAGAGTTCATGAGTGGAACTGCTTTTAAGAACAAGTGGTTCTAGTTCAGTCCCCAACATCTTTCAGGCAAAATTAGCTTAAATCTATTCGATATTATGTTTTTGATAATTCTACTTGAACTAGTTCAGGAACCTTAATACATAAAGCTCCATCCCCCACCCGCCAAATTTGGCAGGACAATATTGGCAATTAGCTGTCAGAGGGTAGTAACCTCTTTTATAAGCGTAACTGATTTGCTGCAGAATGTGCATCAGGCTACATCCTGTCTTAGCCAAAATGGTCTTGTAATCTGAGTGGTAACCTCAATGCATTTCTCATGTTACTACTGTCACTGTTGTACACACTGTTCTTGACTACTTTTGGCTCTGTTGTCCATGTTTTGGATTAACCAGGCCATGCTAAAAATAACATTTTTTTGTAGATTAAACAATCTTTTTGTATTGTTAGGACTTCATTTTACATCCATCTTATGTCCACTTTTTCAAAAGTAACTATTTTAAATGGTATATGCATTTGTAGACTAATTTTCATATTTTTATTATTATCCACGTTTTGGTTTTGTTCCAAGGCACTCTATTTCAGTACGATTCTGAATAGCTGAGGGTGACTATTTCTTGCTTAAGGTTGAATGCTAACTGCTGTTAGCTCACTTAACACAGTTCAGTCTTAACACTGAAATAACAATTTCTTCAGAAGAAGCTTCCATTGATTTATCTCCTTGGCTTTCAAGAGGTGAAATGAACATTCTGCCATGATTGTACATGCAAAAAAAAAAAAGAACTTGGACATAGCTTTAAGCATGTATTTAAGCCTATTAAAGTTAAGTTTAATCTAAATGCATGTTTATATGCATGGCTAGATCTGGATACATGATGAATAGCCATCTTGCTAATAACATCTTGTATTTTGACTGAAATTTGACTTCTTTTTTGTTGATTTAGAACCAACAGAGCAGTCCGTCTTATTCTGAGCCGAGGGGATGATATGTTAATCACTGGTGGCCGACATCCTTTTATTGGTAAATATAAAGTGAGTGCCACAAGAATTCAGTGAAAAAATACCTCCCCATATTCTGTGAATAAGTATTTCAGTGCTACTGGTTAATAATTGTTCTATTAATGAAAATTAGTATAATCAATGCAATTTTAAAACAAAACTACTAGCCAGGAAACCAAGAGATAAAGTTGCTGGACAGCCCTTTCTCTGCTTCTGCCTCTATCTCTGCAGAGTTTTGTTTTGTTTGTTTGTTTGTTTGTTTTCTAGTCCCTTTGTGTCCTTTTCCTCTTATAGCTCTTTCTGTCTTTCTTTCTGGGAATGGGAAGCCAAGCTAGCTCAGACTTCTTCTGCAGAGGTTTATTTTCAACTGTCTGTATGGTTAGGTTCACAAAAAAGAGCAGCTAGTTTTTCACAGAAAGTATCATACAGGAAAACTCACTTTGTAGAGGAAATTAATCTCTTCCCTGCTCATACACTGTCATCAGTCATAACTGTTCATTAGCACAATTTCTGCCTTCATTCCCATCTGTACTACATAGGTAAAATAAGAGAGGTTTTACAGGATACTTCCCTGTAGAGAATTCAGGAACTATTAGTGGCAACAGGTGAAAAGAGAGGTGTGAGATAAAGATAGCATTTCTTCATTAAGAAAAACAAATGTCATATTCCATCTGCCAAATGCTATTCTTACATTCAGAGTGGGATTTGAATTCATCTACAGTGAACATTCCTAGATGACACACTTACGGGTATCTGGGGCAACACAACAGGAAGCCACTGGGCTTCCCTGCTTCTTCCTTTCCCAATGGGCAGATGTTGCTTGTTATATGCTGTACCTATACAGATGACAGATGCCATGTGAGAAAGCCAATATCTTAGGAGCATACTTCCTTTCTCTCTTGCCATTCTATAGTTTCAGTGAATGCTGCCCAGAAATTAATAGTGCAGCACATGGTTTACATTAATTTTCAAAATATACAAGCACTGAAGAAATTAATGAATGCCAAAATCTAAATAGGTTATTGTTGATCCTTCTAGGTTGGCTTCATGAATGATGGTAGGATCAGAGCTGTGGATGCCAAATACTACATTAATGGAGGATGCACCCCTGATGAATCTGTCCTGGTAAGGATTTTGTAAGCTGGTAAGTCTTACAACATGGAGGAATCATTAGCTGAAAAATGATGAAAGCCAAATTCTCTTGCACATGTATTGTTAATCATATAGCCTTTCAATGTAGGGACTGTGAGTTGCTGGAAAATCTACACCTAGTAGTTTAACCTTTCCTTATTGAGTTCAATGAAGCACTACACTACTTTTTGATATTTTCCTACGCATTCACTTCATGAATGGTTTCTCAGGCTTATTTTCCCATTATAAACATGCCAACTAACAATGTATTCTTTTGAAAAGATATAGTACCCGCTTAAAGCTTTATGTCTCCAGGCTGCAAAGACCTTTCTTAGCCTTCAGAAAATTCACACTGATAATTTTCCTGTTACTATCTCTATGCATTTCTGTATTGGGTCTGCATTTATTGTGCTGTATACCTCAGTTCCTCACTTACAGGTCTGCAAACTATAAAACATTGCTTGCTTGAATATCAGTAACTAGCTATTTGTGTTTGCATAGACTATTCTTACCATAACTGAAATGTTTGTTGAGGTTACTCCCTCTCATCTGCTTGACATTGCCCTACCTATGGGTATTTTCTGCACGCTGAAATCTGTCAGTGTAACTGCCCATGCTATTGCTGCCTAACCTGGTTTTGAAAAATAAACTGGGTTAGAAAAAAAATCCATTATTAAAAGCATGTACATTAATGCAGATCACATGTCAGAATCATCTTAAGGTGAAATTCTACAATGATACAGTGAAGCTGGTGGACCTAGAATTGGAGGCAGTGATAACCGAATGATTCCACCCAACTCAGCTGCAGCTGAAGTAGCACATGTGATAACAGCTTAACTCTCTATCATCACTCCCTAATTAATTAGATCAATACCCAGTAGTTTAGCTGTGTAATTCCATTTGATTCTATTACTATAGCATTGATAATTCAACACTTTTAAGAGGAGAAATAGGTCTATTATAAATAAAATTACAAGCTTTACCAAACTTACATTTTTTTTCTGGGCCACTGTGACTTATCTGTGTGTTCTCAAGACAGTATTTTGGGATTTATTCTTTCTTTAGAGCGGACCTTGCTCTACGGGAGCCTAGCCCTAGGGAGAGCCAAGATGCTTGATGCTTATTGTAATAAAGACTGGTCTTCCAGTATGGGATTTGAATACCAGTAATCTACGCTTAACTTAGTTAGTTACCAGTTCAGTCAGCAATTAATAATATGTTTTAACTCTCTGTGATTAGATCAAGATTTGAACAGACATTTCTGGTAAGAAACATTGGCATAGCTAAGAGTTGTATTATAACAATGCATTATATTCATCTGAATTATCAATAACCCTCTTAAGGCTGATCATCTTCATACACATACTTTCTCTGAAGTCCATGAAAGTTGTGGTCATAATAAACAAAAACATGACTCTTTTTTTCATTCTGCAAAATAACATTTCAACTTATATTTCCTAAGTGAAAAGGTAGCATTATATGACATTATTCATATGTATAATTATTACAGCAAAACTATCTTCAGTTGCTCCTATGCAGAAATATTTTTAAGTTTATTGTTGAAAGCTCAGTGGAAACAGTAGCAATACAGGCTTAAATTTTCCATTCTGAGAAATCTACTTAACCCTGAAGAGAGCCAGTGGCCTCTTCATGAAGCATCAAAACATTTTTAAACTTATTTATTTATTCTGATACTGACTCCTAGAGCCTAATTTGAGGTATCTAATATGGGATTTTACTTTTCTTTTGGTTTTTTGTTTGTCATGCAAAATCTCTGAAAGAAAAATGTAAGAACCAGAAGACACGGTGGACTGCAGTACATGTGCTTTCTGGTGGAACTAAACCTTAACTGTGAATTTCCATAGGATGTGATAATTCAGAAGGCTTTCATCAGTTCCTTTCATAGCTCCAATTGCTTTAATAAAAACTAATTTGCCTATTTTTAGTTCTGTATGGCTTTTGATATTAAAGTAGGAGCAAAATCAGTCCTAAAATTAAGTATCCGTTACATCCTTAACTACTGACCAGCACTCAGCTGTGTTCTGTGAATATCAAAACAGAACTGAAAACTACTACACTGCATGAAAAATGTATGAGTAAAGTCTGTATGTGTGCATAAGGGTATTTTTACTACCAGTGATTGACAGAAACCAAATTTTAAAGCTAATTGTCTCAAGTTAAGGTCTTTATATGAGTTGAGGAAGATTTAAATGTAATTTTGAAAGAAGCACTGTTCTGACATTTAACTATACCTGTTTGTTCCCTACCTCAGGTAGCAGAAGTATCCTTATTAAAAATGGACAATGCATACAAGATTCCCAACTTGAGATGCTGGGCTTATGCCTGCAAAACAAACTTGCCATCAAACACAGCATTCCGAGGATTTGGCTTTCCCCAGTCAGCACTGGTGACAGAAACTTGGATAACAGGAGTTGCAGATAAAACTGGTTTATCACCAGAAAAGGTGACAAAATGAAGGCATCTTCTCTTCTGGAATGAAGTCTATGCAGTTGGAAAGTTAAAACCCTTTAGATTAGCTCAACTGTTTGAACAAATCTTTTCTAAGTCAAGCACAATTTGTGCTAAAATTTGTATTTTTTTTTTTTAATCAAAGTCTGGTTGTTGAATTAATAACATGCTCTTACAAACGGAACCAAACTGGTAATTGTTCAAAAAACATATGGTAATCCTGTTGTCTACTAGTCCCCCCAGATGGTCAGTCTGCCTTAAACAGGATCATGTGATAGCTGTTAATTTTATTATTTCAGATTAGGGAAATAAATATGTATAAGGAGAATGAGGAGACACACTTCAAACAAAAGCTTGATCCACAAAACTTAATACGATGTTGGAATGAATGCATAGAGAAATCTGCATACTACAGTAGGAAAACAGCTGTCAGTGAATTTAACAAACAAAATTCCTGGAAGAAGAAAGGGATTGCCATTGTACCAATGAAGTTTCCATTTGGACTAGGCACACGCTATCTTTCTCAGGTTAGTTTCTTTGAAGAATAAGTAACCTAAGCTTTTTATCCATAGAAGATTACAGTTGCTGTACCTTACGAGTCAAAATGTGTTATCTTTCAACTTTGCAAAACTGTCATCCTCCTAATGGTTGTTCCCTGAAGGCTACACTAGCTTCTAGCTCTCTTCAAGCTGAGATCAAAGTTGTTTAGTTTTCAGGACCCAGTGAGCTTGGACCCTGCCTACTTAAAGGCCAGTCCCATCTCTTGTGATGTGGTATTGGTATAGATGAGTTGAACAGTTTTATGAAAAATTTTTGAAGACTGCTGGCAAAGTGTTCCTTGGATAAGTTATGCATTCCAGATAAAGCTCTGAGCTTACTCTTACTGACCACTGGGGTACTATGGGATGCTGTTCTTACAGATTGAGCCCTTTGATATCATCAAAGTTTAAGGAAGAAAAGAAGGACAGTAGTATTTTTGGTCTTAGTATTTTGTTTAATGCTGGTGTCCAGTGCTTCTGGAATAGACACCATTTTATCAAATGAAAATTAATTGACTGACTTGTATCATATCAAAGACTGAAGTCACAGGGCCTTTGTAGTCTACAGTGCTACTTCCAACAGAGTCCAGGAGGAAAATCTCATTCAGAACCTTCCTTCTGTGTCTAATGCTGACAGCCTGCCCAACCCATGCAGTTGAAAAGCCTGTGTCCAAAGGCTCTCAATCATCAGTGAGAGAGAAAATGAAACTTGTAGCAATTTGCTTGTACAGCTGCTAGCGAGGGAGGTCCTCTAACTTCTTTTGGAACCATTGGGATACTGTTGCCAGATGTAGATTTATTTCAGGATCTAGCAACAGAAAAAGCAGACCTCCAAGGAAAGGATTTGTCTTTTTCTTTTGAAGTTTGTTACCGACAAAGAGCAGGGACTAGCATTTCAAATTTTGGCATCCTTTAAAAAAAAAAGAAACAGAAATTGAAATACACTTCAAAACTATGGTTTTTTGATCTGTCTTTTTTTGATTCTTCAGTTCATCACTGTATACAACATGTATCTCATTCTAATCTTGATTTTGTATTTCTTTTTTTAGGCTGCTGCTCTGGTTCATATTTATACTGATGGGTCTGTGCTTCTGACACATGGTGGAATTGAAATGGGGCAGGGTATTCATACAAAAATGATCCAGGTAACAAATGATTCAAACAAATACTACTTTGTGCTTTATCTATCAAGCAGATAAACAGTGTGAAGGTTTTCTTCTTGGTTAGTTAGTGTACTAGTAGGACAGTTTCTTTATCAGCATAGCCACTGCTTCTTTGCATTAATAGAGTTATAAAGCAAAGATGCCTTCATTAAGAGACATAGAGACAGCAGGAAGAAATAACAGATTGTTTGTTTTTTATTCTTCCAATGGTATATAAAGAGTTATGAGAAATAAGATTTTTTGGGGCTGATCCCATGAAACCCATGGTAAAAAGAGACAGTCAGTATGCAGATTAGTATACAGTCCAAGTGATATTATTTTTATCATATTTGTTTAAGGGTAATTGAGAGACGGACCCAAAAGATATTTATCAAGTCAATGAAAGCTTGGCATCTGGGCCTGCATAATTTGCCCTAAGTCATACAGGGTATAAGCAGCAAAATCAGGAACCAAATGTTGGACTCCAGAGTCTCAATCCAGAGTTTGAGTACAGCTAAAACATTGCCACACTTTTCTGTTTCTTTGTGATGACAAACTGGGCAAAATGATTTGGAAGAGTACTTGCTAAAACTTTATCTTTCCTGGTATCACCAACTTCTAGCAAGTACTGGGAAAATGTTGGAGTGTTTAGAATGTTTTTAAACCAGAGAAGAATCTATCGTTCTTCCTGAAACAGGTTGCTAGTCGGGAACTGAACATCCCCATGTCATGTATTCACTTCTGTGAAACGAGCACAACAACTGTTCCTAATGCATGTGCCTCAGTAGGATCTGCAGGGACAGATGTCAATGGCATGGCTGTGAAGGTAAAGAGCAGTATTTAGTTTAACAAAAACCACTGTCCCTCATGGTATCTAATGCCTGCCTAACTTTAAGCATTCGTGATCTCATAGAAATCAAGTTTGAGATTACCAGTAGTAACACTGGAGATTGCTGAGAAGGAACATGACTTCCTGACAGTTTCTCAGTAATGGTGATTATAAGTTTTCAGAATATGATCTGAGCTTTTCCCAAAAGACTTATGTTTGACAAAATCCTTGTTTCATCTAACAAACTAACTAGTCCCATACTAGTCTTGTATAATGTTCCTGTTCTGAATCTACTGATTCATGCAGATTCCAACCCTTGTAACTTAACCCTTTATAAGGTTTGTGTCTATGCAGTTAAAATGACATCTCTTGCCATACTTTTTCAAACCAAAATGACAGTAAAGCATATACTAATTAAGTACTAACTAGAACATATCTTGAATAGTACCAAACATATCTGTGTCAATTTTGATATATTCTCCTGAATTCTCACCAGGATGCTTGCCAAACTCTTCTCAAACGCCTGCAGCCTATCATCAACAAGAACCCAAAAGGGACCTGGAGTGATTGGGTAAGACATGTGAATCCTACTAAATGTGTTTTGTGTGCTTGCAGAAACTGCGATATATGTATTGTGGTCTATCAGTCTCCTTGGCCTAATAATCCTAAAGTTAAAAACTACAGAAACAGATTACTTCCCAAAAAGATGGAGCGTAGGTACTTGGTTTAGATATATGGGAAACAATGCCTGGATCGTATCTATTTGGAAAGGCGGGGAAGCTATCTGTGAAGTCACATTTGGAGGCACAGAAGTTTTTAATGTACAAAAAAATACCAGCTTGTGCAGTAACATAACCCAGCCCAGTTTACCCTCAGACAAGCTGTTGCCAAAAGATTGTCAGGGTATATGTGTACAGTGTCAGTTTTCCTACAGGGCTGTTCTTTATTTTTACCAAATCAATAAAGGGAAGCCTTCTCAACCTCTTCCTTCCATCTCTTTCCCATATGCAGTATATTACAGAACTGCAAAAAAGGTAGCAGGAATCCTTGCTCCCATTGCTCTAATATGTAATTAGTTATAATATTAGTTACATTTGCAGTAGGGTAGTACAGAAGTAGTGCTAATGCTATTTATAGAAATGGCTGAAACTGGAAATAGAATTTTAGGGCTAGAAACTGAATTTTCTTAACTAAAAACTTTCTGCTATAATAGCAACTATTTTTATGAAGAATCTAGTCCTATGTATTGAGATGTTAAAAGAAAATCTATTTATGTCTTCTTATCCAGTATTGCTTGTTACCTACTGCCTAATGAAAAGGACAGTCCCTGCCTTCAGGCATTCACAGATCCAGTACACTAGGGTGTTTATTCTAAAGTGATTAAATACTTTAATAACTGTAAAAATGTAAATACTTTCTTGACAGTAGTAATTCCTAGCAATAACAAATAATGTTGAAATACATGTGGTAGCTTGATAAATGACAGCTATGTATGCAAAGATAAAATCCAGTTCTCCTCTTAACAGGTGGCAAATTAATCTGGATAATTCAGACACACCCAAAATATTAGCAGAAATGGCTGACCTAAGAAAGAATGCAGAGAAGTAATTTTACATCTTGGGAAGTCAGTAAATTACAATTAAAAATTTTTTTAAAACCCTAAACTTCTTGACTTGCAAACTGATAAGAATCACTGAAAGGGAATACATTTAGGACCTCATACTGTCATTTTTACCACTGGCAGAAGAACACTGTACAAATAATTTCTCTTGTCAACTGTAATTTTTGTGCAAATAGGTCATGCAGATCTTATATCTTAATGATTTATAAACCAGATCTGTTCAGTTGACAAAGAGGGATCCATTTCTGTTGAACTTGAGCAAAAAAAATGAGCAGGGCCCTTTAAGACTATGGTATTACCTGTAATAAGGATTCTGCAAGAACACCACTGTTGACAGGTCTATTCCTTACTGTATTGCCACAAAAATTCAGATTGCTTGTCAAAAGGGCATTTAGTTCTACAGTATTAGGCCCCATGTGCAGCTAAACGTGCTTAACTCAGCTGGTCTTTTCCTTACAATGTGTTACAGTTTGTTTTTTAAGTAAATAGATGTAAATTAAGTAAAGATATGTATGCTGTGTTCCTTCCTGACTCCTTCCTTGATTTACCACAAACACTGCCATATTTTACAGATTAAAGAGGCTTTTGAACAGAGTGTGAGTCTTTCAGCTACTGGCTACTTTAGGTAATACATTTTTGCTCCTTAAAAATTGATAGGTTAGACCAGGACTGATTTCTGAAGATAACCAGTGCCATCAACAGAAGATCCTGTCTAATAGTTCTTTCAAACGGCTCAGCTTATGTTTTATGTAATTCTTTGATATATGGGGGGTGGAGTATAAAGTTTAAGTGCTAATTTATGCCTATCCCTGTGTGGACTCTCTAGAAAGTATCAAAAGACTATTTTGTCCCATTTTTACTCCATGGTTCCACCATTAGCAAACCAGAAAGCATCAAGAAAGTGACTCCTGCCCATAACAGTAGGTGTGCAAAGTGGGATACAATTTATTTATTGGAGGCTGTATTGCCATAAGCTATAAATATTGTTGTACTACAAATTATTTACACTTTTACCCACAAACATGGTCACACTGAGTTGCATGACAGAAAGAACAAGTGGCAGCATTCGAATATTTATCTAGTGCACACCTGTAATTAGCAACAGGTGCACTTGTGGAAAATTAGGACCATTTATTTCTAGATCTGAACCTTAAGGTTATTTCTCTTTAGAGGAAGGAGAATTTAAAATATCTGGTTGAGTTTTAAGAGAAAGCTCACGGTAGGGTTTTTTCCAAAACCTACCTCAGGAATCAGTGAGAAGTGGGGTTGCTCACTGACCCTAGTTTGGAGTCATTCTTTTGACCTCTTCGCTTCTGGAACCTCAGAAAATTCCCACTGTACATACTCTTAGATATGGATTTATTCACAACAGCATACCGTTGCAGGACACAGTAATCTTAAACACAATTCCCACTGCTCTCTCTCAGTGCAGTCTTGTGGCCCTTTTTCTCTGAATTCTTTCACAGTGTTTATAAAGAACCAGAAAGGAAAAATTCCTGTGCTAAAACTCAGGTGGGATTCAGATCAAAGCTTCTCTCTTAGCTTGCTGTGCCTTATATCTTCTCTCCCTACACCTGTATTTACCTACTTATCAATAACGACTTTTCAGGTATTCAGTCTGGCACTTCGCAAACCCGTACTTAATAAAACACTGAGAAAAGCCCAAACAAAATGTCCTTTCCTGCTGTTGAGTCTGTTCAAGTATGTTTTCTGCTTATGCAGCCATTTAGGAATGTTGTTATCTCCAAAGCAATGAGCAACAGTCATAGTTTGCTATTGATATTGAATAGTGTCCAAAAACATCTGCAGATCCCTGAGCCTCAAATCCCGTATTGATCTAGTTCTTATCCAGTCATATTCTCCACATCCAAGAATCTCAAAGCCAGCTGAGGTAGATGGGATGTGAGAACTTGAATATGTGGATCTTGTGTATCCCTTTTTCAATGCGCAGTTCAATGCTCTGAATTATACTATTAATTGTTTGATAGCTTATGATTTTAAATATGCTCAACAAAGACATGTATGGCCAGAAAATATGCCTTGGTCACATAGCTCACATGGTTGGGAGATACCATGTTTCACTGTCCTCTTGTGTCTATTGAATTTACCCCATCAGTCTTGACTACTATAGTTTCCTCAGTTAGTCCCACTCCCTTCTAAGTAATTTTACCTTTATTTCAATACTCCTGTTTTAATTTTAACTCTTTCATCTATCTCTCATAAATTACTCTTTCATAGGTCCTGACCAGTTTTCCTTCCTTTTTCTGAATTCCCTTATATGCTATTACCTCAGCAACCATTACCTTAAATTTGTATTCTGTATTTGATTCCCATGTCTTTATTAGTATATTTCTGGGATTGTGCTAGTTATAGACTCTCCTGAACTGAAATAGCTTGCTTGTCTGCTAAATTTCATATAAATACCAGCTCCATCAAACCTAAACTACTAGTGCTCTGTAGGATTTCATGGAACTTAACTATTGGGGTTCTGACCTGTTATTTAAGATTCCACTTGAAGTAGTTTCAAACTTTCATGTACTCATCTGCTTTATTATGATGCAAGCATTCATTAATTTTCTTCTTGTGGACTTTGTTTCTTCCGTCAGAGGTTACAATGAAAACATGGATTGGGAGAAAGGGGAAGGACAGCCATTTACATATTTTCTTTATGGAGCTGCTTGTTCAGAGGTTGAAATTAACTGTCTAACAGGAGATCACAAGGTAATAACTGAGTGTCCTGGAAGTTTTGTAAATAATATGAATGAGGTTTGTTTGTATCACTGAATGATCCAACAGCCATTCAGGTTTTGCATTAATAAGTCGCCTGTCTTCACATGATAGTAAATATATCAACAGTGTAAATGCAAATTACAGGTAGAGCAGAATGAAAGCTGTGCAGTGTTAACCAGCTTTTGGCACATCTGTATTAATGTCATATGGGTTCACTTTTGGGTTTGGCAGACATCTGACATGCTCTTTGCTTGCTCTCTCCCTGTTTGCCACCAAACAAATTACAGCAGAGATAAATATTCTGTTTCTAGGTTTTTGACCATCTGGACAGCTAAATGTTATAGACTGCTGATCATATGCCCTCTATCTGTAGTTATTTATGTGGGATTTTCTTGTGCAATGGGAAAAATATGACAAGGCTGTCTCTGGCTAAACTTTGTTAAAACTGAGACAAGCCCATTTCACTTGTAATGGGGTACTGGAAATTACTTCAAAACTGTGTACACAGAGGGGCCTCTGTTTTAGCATGTATTATTCCACTGAATACCCACTCTAACCCACACTATGTTCTAATGCCTCTACTCCATGCATCACTCTCAGTAATATGCATTTGAATGTTATTGACAGAACCTCAGAACAGACATTGTTATGGACATTGGATGCAGCATAAATCCAGCTGTGGATATAGGACAGGTATGTGCCAAGAACTTCCTGCTGCCTTATTTCTATTACACTGGTAGCCTTCTCTGAAGTGAAGATTACCTCATTAATTCAGAAAACGTTAATTTCTTTACAAGATAATGTTATAAGTCATATATTGTATTAGAAGGTCCTTTACTTGTAGTCTTACCCTATTTGAGTCACTGTCAGAGCTTTGTAGATGTCAATGAAGTTTGAATTTTACGCCTGCTGCCAACCTGTAGTGCTTACTGTATGGATATATGCCCGCTATCTGCTGGACTTAAATCCTGTTTGTGATCTACAGTCTCCAAATTCTCCTATTGTTTGACCTGCCTTTCCTACTTGATAGCAGGGAAGCACCTTTCTTCATTGCAGGCTGGTCCACAGATCTCATCACTTCATGAAAGCATTTGTCTCTGCCTGGTATGAGAGAGGAGTGTGAAAGCTTTTCCCATCACGGTAGCCCCAAATGTTGAAGAATCCCATTAGGCAAACAGGAAAGAAAATGGTCTTCTAACAGCTAGTGATACAAATCAGTTCTTGCCAAAGTTTTGCCTGTTTTACCAGACATGAGAATGTAAATGGTATTTCTTTTCTTATTTAAAGATTGAAGGTGCTTTCGTTCAAGGCATTGGACTGTATACAATGGAGGAATTAAAGTACTCTCCAGAAGGAGTCCTCTATACTCGGGGTCCAGATCAGTATAAGATCCCTGCTGTATGTGATATTCCAGAACGATTTAGTGTTTCCCTGCTGTCATCTTCCGAAAATCCTTATGCCATCTATGCATCCAAGGTAAGCAAACCACCACAGTGCCTAATTCTTAGATAACAGGACAAACAGAAATTACTCTCATATAAAATATATATAAGTTTTCAGTTCCTCTTCTTTAGCATTTCAAACAAGTGTCCATAAAATTGTTTTATTTATGACATCAGGGAAACTAATATGAAAAGATGTAATGCAGAATATTGCTGCATATCTTTCATGGTTAGCAAGTAGTACGTTCAGGATTTCGTTAATGGACTATACACAAAAGCTGCAAGCTGAATTTAAAACCATACTTTTAAAATGTCGTGAAAAACTGAAGAGAGAGAATTAAAATACCAAAGAAATTGATGGAGAAATCATAGTGACAATGAGAGTGTTATGCAACAAGAAATAGGACTGTATGTGTGTATTTATATGAGAGAATGGCTCAAGTATTCAATTGGTATAATCACTGCTTCAATTTGCACTAGCAAATATTCTGGCCAGTTGCATATAAGTAGTAATAGTAAATAAATATTAAGGTAATTCTGCAAATTTCTATCTGCTTCAAGTATTAGGTATGCTTTTAGAATACAGTAAAATAAAACAGCATTACAGGAGGAAAAAACATTTAACAGCAAAAGTTATTAAAGAACAAATAGGTCCTTTTAAATTATTCAAAGCTGTCCCGGTAATACATTATTAGAAAAGTGTTTGAAAAAATACCATCTAGGTGAAGTGGTTACACAGTTTATTTGGAGCTGATCTAGAGAGCTGATCCTAACATCCCTCTTCAAACAGAGCTTTTATCCTTTTCTGTGAACTTACCTTTTATAATTAACCTTGAAATTCACTGTAAGAAGGTGTGATTCTGTCTTCATGCACCATGTTTGGGGGAAGACATTTTGTTCTCAGATTTTACCAAGGAAATAAGTAAGGTTCAATTGTGATATCACAATCCAGTCCAAATGAAAATGTTCAATACCAGAGCACTGAGAGAACTATGGCGTAAGGGTGGATTTGACCTATCTTTGAGATAAGGAACAAATGTGAATCTTATATCAGAACCAGTGAGAGGATGTCAGGCCCACTGAGGTCAGTGGTGTTTGTCTTCAGAGAATTGTCATGAGTTCAGGCTTTTTTTCTTAGTTGTATCTGTACTTGGGTTTGGATTGTTTTAATTTTATCTGCCAGTTATTCTAAATTTCAGTTTAGCAATGAGCCAAAAAGATTCTAAAATCAGTACCCGATACTTGAAATCAACCTTTTTAGCTCCCTGGAAGCAGCTACCATCAGAAGACTTGGTGTGATCTAAGCGTACTTCTACTAAATCTAAAATAAATACCCTTAGTGAAAGATGAAACACTTCTTGAGTCACTGACTTTTAAGCTTTTTAGTTGATATTAATATAGCATGTACTCCTCTCATTTGCTCAAAATCTACATCTATTTGACTACTTTTTTATTTTCTTTTTCAGGGGATAGGTGAGGCAGGACTTTTCTTGGGATGCTCTGTGTTCTTTGCTTTGAGAGATGCAGTAACTAGTGTGAGAAATGAAAGAGGACTGAAAAAGACCTTTGCACTGAACAGCCCTCTGACTGCTGAACAAATACGGGCAGGCTGCGCAGATGACTTCACTAAGATGGTAATAAGAAGGTGGGGGAAGGGTCTGTTTAAGTATCTCTTGACAGAAGTACATACAGCTTTCCGCACCCCTGAATGGTGTGGTGCCTAATGATGTGTCCAATTGGTCATGTTTTGTGTACAAAATTATTATATGGCTCCTTGTAATTGAAATGCCTGATAACCGGTCTCACTCACACAAGTTATTCCAACAAATGGCATTCAAGCATTGTATTGGAATTTCCCTGATTTTGTATAGTTGAATCCACCTCCTTTCTTCTGTATGTCAAATCCCATAGAGGATTAAATAGCTCCTCTTACTGACATGAAATGGATCAGCCTCCAGGCATCTTCAGTCACCTTCCAGGTGCTTTCCCCCACTGACTTGCATTCTGGCACTGTCACCTCATTCTGGTACTCCTTGCTATGCCCAGTACTCTTTGGGAGAAAAATAATTAACTCTGAGCTTACAAAAGGATACAGAAGAGATACAAATGAGGCAATATACTTGTTGTAATGCAGATCCTTTATATACTTTGTTTTCTGCAACTATTCACTGTAGTTGTGTCCTCACTGTTAATACCATTCTTTTTCCGTGTGAGTTTTTATTTAGTCTACAAAAACTGGGAAGCAAGGGCCTTGCCAACATATACTTCCATACTGTGCCCTGAACGTCTGAGGTTTCACTTCATGGAAACTCTTGAGGTTTCACTCACAGATTACCCCTATAGTCTATCTGTGGTGGGACATCATTGGCTCCCAAAATGTCAGCTTACTCTCATTACAGGTGCTTGCGGGAGGTGAGGTCTGCCAGTGGAGAGACTGTGATTCTCCATCCCTGTTTGGCCCTGACCCCAGTTATCACTGACCTTCCTTCCAGCCATCTTTTATAGGTATCTCCTGTAGAACACCATGCTGAGTGACTTGGAGGCACCTGATAAGTGCAATATTGGGAGCTGTCCAGTCAAATAACATAAACAAGTCAGTCTTTTCATTTCTTGCTTGTTCTCGTAGGTGACAAATGATGATGAATCTGCTTCCTCCACTCCTCAGGCCATATCTGTGTGAATGACAAACCCGAGTGCACAAGACCGGAATGGAATGGAATGGAATGGAATGGAATGGAATGGAATTGAAAACTGATTTACTGCCCCAATACACACTAATCAAACAGGGATAAATATATTTTATCATTTTCAGAATACAATCAGCTACCAAAAATATGCATGTTACATCTTCTATTCTTATCTTCATTCTCCATCCAGTATATTCATTACAGTACTTCACTTAAATTACTGCATTTAATTGCTAGAAATACATCTCCTGCATTTGAAGCATATATATTCAACAAGAAAGATCTGCTGAACAGCTCAGCTCAGATGCTGCAGGGGAAGAAAGTTAGGATGAAGTATAAAGGTATGTTAGATAACTTACTGCCAATTATTACACTTTAAAACTTCATATGATAAATTATTAGCTTCAGCTAATTTTCTAATTTAGGTTTGAGTCTTGCAGTGGAGTGTGAGTGCAGAGATATTTGTCTGTTGAAGAATCAGAACCTTGTTTGTTGGATTCAGTCCTTTTTTGATCAGAAGTGATGCTCTGATTTGTAGTAAAGCTGCTTTAGATTCTTTTGGCACAGACATCTTTGTGTTAAAAACATGCAAGAAACAAGAGTTATGATTTTCTTTTGCTATGCCAGGGAAATTGCTATGTCTAACCTACATATATAGGCAGTTAATTTTATCCCAAAAGTTGGAAGAGTCACTTAGTTGTAATTTCCACTGGAAGCTTTCTTTTTCTCATGGAGTAAGCCAAAAGCCTCTGAACTTAATGGGAGAATTCACATGGAGTTTAGTGTGCTTTGAATAGGAGGCTGGATGAACCTGTCTCTGGAAAGGATTCTTGAGCAGTGCTTAATCCTGTGCTCAGGACTATGTTGAGCCATGAAAGTACAGTTAAGAACTTTCTCCCACTCTTAGCCACTCCTGTGATAAAGAAGATAGAAAAACCACAATGAGATCAAAAGTTGATCTGCAAAGATCAGTCATCTGATGCTGCCTAGGGTGCAGTGGGATTAGGCCACACCCAAGTAGTAGCAGCTGGAGAAAACAGGAAAATATAAAGCAGCACTGTATTAAATATTAACAGAAATTCCAGTGTTATTAAATTTGAAGTATGTATATATTTGTAACCTGAAACCAAGAAATGACACAGAATATACCAAAGTTAATGTATTATGAAAGCTCTGGCCACAATATTCAGATCTCTGCATCAGAATCCACAGTATTGAACTGACTGAGAACTTCAGCCTTTCTTCCTCTTGAAGTGCAAAGCTGAGATTTCAGCTCTGAATGCACACACACAAATACACAAATCTCCATGGTATTTGAATTTGGGGCTTTGATCTGGGATACATCCTAATATGGAGAAAAAACTTTTTTAGTGAGTCTACAGAAGTTACCAAAAGTATACTGCACCTGAAAAATTGCAGCAGGTTCTTTGATAAGGAAGTAGATCTGGGAAAACAGGTAGTTTGTATGTTCAGTGTGTGGTTTCAGTGAACCTCTGTATCAGTGATTCCTTGCTGAGAATTGTGATTGCTATTGCAGTTACTCATAGGTCAGATTGCTCCAGAGCCGTGAAGACCGACATTTGTAATGAAAAGAAATGTCTCTAATTTGTTTGACATGTCAGCCTGCAGGCCCTTATTATTTCACTGCTCCTCAGTTTTCCACAGACTATTTTCTCTTCTTGCCTTCCATCCCTTTTGTGAGTTGATACTCTATCTGTGACAGAAATCATGTTAGTAGGTTAAACTGGTCTTGCATTGGCTATTAAGGTATGAAATCTTTATTGCTGCAATTTGTCTCCCTGTAACCACTATGAGTAGGTGAAATTCAGTTGCTTAAACATAGGTGTCTAGACCATTTCAGATGTCATAAGACAGCAGAGACATAGGAGAGCACAGGACTGGAAGATACAACATAGCACCTGGAGGCCAAACAGATTATTGCAGATTATCTGAAGTGGCACCAGAAGTGTGGTTTAGGCAGCTGAAGCCCCATTGGTTTTTACTTCTTTTTCTTCACCTTCTTTATATTACTTTGGCTTTTATATATTGTAAGAAAATCAATAAATCAAATTAAATGTGACTGCTGCTGCCACAATTAGTTTTTCCTGATTTGAAACAACTTCTTAGTTTCACTTTATGGGCTTGTTAACGACAGCTCACAACCCCACATGTCTATAACAGCCCCAAAACTAGGGTAAATCCTGGCATACACTGAAGCAGGGAGCATACAAGTCTATTGAACGGGGGGAAGGTGCATTGTCTGTTACTCTCCTATACCTATGCATTAGCACAGGTGTAGGTTAGTTCCAGACAAGTCAAATCTTGTAAAAATTGTGGCCCAACCCTTGCAGGCAATGATGTCTGAGGTGTCTGCAGTCCAGGGATTCATCATGTTCTAGACCTGCACTTTGTTTTCTGCAGTGCTGCAGATCACACACCTGCTTGTCAGTATTTCTCAGTTATTATTAACAAAGATTCCTCCCTGCCTCGTTACAAGTGGCACTGTTGTCTGGTTGTCTCAGTAAAATCTATACATGTGCCAAACATGGGTTGTTGGGTTTTTTGAGAGCTGAAACATATTAAGCTGTCTTTTGGCTTGTAGGCATTTGAAAAACTGCATGGAAGCTAGAAATATCAGCAAATAAACATCCTGATAGATGATACTATGGCTACATGGAATATTATGAAAGAAATTTTCATAGACTATAAAGGTGTTAAAGAGGAGGCTTTTCTTACATTTTTAATATTGTTTAAAATGTGCAGATCCAGGGGGATAGATAAGTAGAAAGGTTAGGGCTCCAAAGACACTGACATGTTGGATGGTTATTGACACGTTAATGTGCGCTGTACAGAAACACCCAAACTGGAGATGGTTGAGAAGAATGCTTTCTACTAATTTTCTTCCTTAAAGAAGTGTTTCTGTAGCTATCCACCCTCCGAACTCCCATTCCATGTGTGTGTAAGCTTAAACACCTAACATAAATACTAGCTGCTGGTTTGGAGGCCTAGTACTCTGAAAATTAGATATTGGACTGTCAAATTTTAGTATTGGGTCTGGTTCTTTTTCTTCTTAGGCCTTTGAGCCTGCATCGTTGTACCTACAACACATGTGGAATACTACAGCAGTGCTGCAGTTGGCAGGACCCATTACAGCTTTTGCCTGCAGGACCTAGTGACTGACATCACTTCAGTGCTTACATTGTGGTGGCTCTCAGGCATACATTAGGAGCTAAAACACAAAAGCAGTGGCATATCTCTGCTGAGAATAATTTTCTTTCCTTCTAATGGGGAGTGGTGGAAGATCTGGGACTAGCTACTTTGTGCTGCAAGCCTATGCTGACTCTAAATGAAATGCAGAGACCTTTGCTGTAAAATGTAAAAATGGTAAATGAAACAAAAGACGTACATACACAAATGGAGACTTTGGAAAGACGTATACATAAGTCCCCTTTTAAAAAAAAATAAAAGCCAGCTGTAATAAAGCATTTAAGGATGAATGACCTTGTTTCCTGGACGCACAGCCAAGGAAGTGGATAAGAATCTAGAATCCCAAATCAGGATTTGGGATTTCTCTCCCTTAGAACATGGTATATACAGAGTATGGTCATCTTATAATGGCACCCTCAGCAGTCAAGGTATAGAGCTGGCATGACATAGAGATAACCAGAAGGAAATTTTAAATGTCTGTGTAGTAGTTATCTTGATTTTGCTAAAACTTGGTCGCTGCAGGAGAAAAAAAATATAGATCGTTCAGGTCAGTGACAAGCTAAAATGAGAAGCATGGCTCCTTGGCTTAGCATTTGACACCTCACAGAAGTGGGTAATGTTGCATGTCTTGGGTTCTAGCTTCAGGCATTCCTACATATTCTAAATTCATCAGTTACTGGACAATATAAAAGAAACAGGCCTGGCAACTATAGCTCAAACCCAGAAGTGCCCCCTCACAGTGAAGTGCCTTATCACTTAGGTTACAGGGTTAGAATTAGAAGGGCTCAAATTCTTTCCAGATTATTTCAACTCACCAGGGAGGAGTTGGGGTGTGGAGTAGGAGTAGAAAGTTTGGTGCATTAACATCTGCACATGCATTAATTGCTGAGAAACGGCCTACATTACACTGGCTCCTCCCCATCTACTTAATTTGATGCTTGTTCTGAAAACAATTCTGCGAGACAAGGCAAACTTATTTAACCTTTGGGAGCATATAGCATTTAATTAATTTCTTTTGATGTGTAAAGCTTTATTTTTCAGGCTTTAATGCAACAGCATGGCTTGCACCCAACACTCAGATGAGCTTGTCTTTTGTGAATGGCAGGAAGGTAAGTTTTTAAATGCCTTTTTTTTTTTTAACGGCAGTGCTTTAGTGTTTACTGTTCATATTCAGGAAGGCTGTTATTCTGGAGCAACAGTTTGTTCATGGATAATCATCTCTTGTCTTTGCTTTTCCTTATAGCATCCTTTCTACCACATTGTTTACATAATCTGGGTGACTTTGTATCACCCTTCATATCACAGAATTTTTAGACTTGTAATTAGTTAGCTTTTTACTAAAACCTTTTACTAGTATGCTCCTAAAGTTGATGTAGTTAGAGTAAATACATCACTTGTAAAAGAATATGCTGCTTACTAATATAGTTTCAGTAATTAATCAAAAGAAAATAAGTAGTTAATTTTTTTTTCTGTTCTTGGTGCCAAAACCTCACATTTCATTTTCTAAGACATTTTGTCACCTTTTCTTACTTTGCAGGTTGAGTGAATAAGAATTCCTATTAACAAACACGTCAGCTAAAATATAAACTCAAATTAAGATATTTTATTTCTTTGTTAAAAACCAAACAAACAATCCAACCTTGCTATGTATTTTTCTAGAGATATTTTTCAGGGTTTTGATCAACATTTTTGTACTCGGGGGGGTGGTGGTGGGGTGGTACAGGCTTTTTTTTTTTTTTACCAGGTGAATTAAGGAAAAGTAATTTAATTTTTTTTTCTGTCAGTTATGTTTTATCTGTCCTTATATGCCACCTGTGCTTAAAGGCATACTCTGAAGCGTTATTTCACTCTGCAGTTCCAAATAAATTCCTGAACTAGTTCATGTTATCTTACACCTGATAAATTGATGCATGCTGTTGGTATAGCAGAACTGTTGAGGTTCAATCTCCTCTTATTCTGCAGCAATAGGTCCTAAAAATGTTTTCACAGCTGTTTGATTATCTTGTCTCCAACAAACTGAAGCATGCCAATGATACAGCAACATTCTTGAGATAAGGTTAAAGCAAGGCCTGCATCAGCCCCACTCATACACATTAAACTTCATTACATTGAAAATATACTTAGTTATGTATCCTCCCTGCTCTTCTTATACTAAGATTTTTATCTGCTTTTATGCTGATGGGTCTCTGCAAATGAAAGGGTTAATATCAACTTCAAGGAGATAAAATGCACAGAATTTTCACACACACGAGTACATGGCTTTAAGATGAAGGTATTTCTGATTCATGCTGATAAGAATCAACAAAGGATCTAATCCAAAGACACTTTCTGCTCTTGTCCATTCAGTGCTTACTCAGCCTTTCTACCCCTTCTACCCTTTCAGTTCTCTGAGTAACTATTATTTCTGTTACTTTAAAAGGACATATTTGACCAATACTGCCTGACCCATTCATTTATTTATCTGCAGGTTGTGATCAAGTGACAGGATCCTGTTGCTGACCAAACACACTACATATTAATCTACAATCACTGCATTTAAACAATATAGTTAATCCTTGTGAGACAATTATATTAGATCTCTCTCTAACCCATAATGTCTTTTTTTATTTCATAATGTAGGTAATAGAGAGGCAGGCAGACCCTGAAGAATTGCTGTTGTATTATCTAAGAAAGAAGTATGTCCTTTTTTTGAACTTCGCCTTTGAGTTCTATAATTACTGCAGCTGGGGATTAAGATGATTTGTTTCACTTTTCTTTGGGAACCAATGTAAACAGAACAATAAGTAGGAATAACACAACTCACCTTGTATTTGTGCTCGGCAGAGCAATCCAGTGCTGTATGTGCATACTGTGTGTTCGTTACCTGGATATGACATTGTAAAGTTTGAGTGTAACTTTTCTAAATACTGCCCAAATCTTCCTTACAGCTTCCCAAAGCATGAAAAACCTTTCAGTGCATTTGCGATGAAAATAGTAACTAAAGAAATCAACACAGAATTACTTCCATAGTAAATAATTCATTTAGGCCCCAAAGCGTTTTGCATAAGCTTATTTTATTATCTTATCTTTATTTTCTGTCATTTGAGATTCTTCAGGTTGCTAACTGCTGTCAGGGCTATATTGACTTCAGTGGCAGTTATCCCAGCTAAGAAGCTGCCATGCAGGTTATAAAGTTAAGCAAGTGTTTAGCTTTGCTGTTGAGAGCCGTCTATGCTGGAAGAAAAACAATATTAATTTAAGTATTAACTGGAGAAGGGCAGTAGTGGAAAGTAATTTATTAGCTGCAGCTTTTTTATTAGCTTGCATTATGCATAGTCCAAAGTATTCAGTGGAATAATTAGCATCTCTCAGTGGAAATGCACCAATGGATAAAATTGCACTGGGTTTAAAGAAATCTAGAAACATGTTGAAATCAGATGGAAGACATCATCTAGTACCTAAGCAAAATGGTAGGTTTCAGACAGTAAATTGTAAAAAGTGTAGTAAAGGGATAACTGTTTTATTGCCAAGGTCATAAGTGTGGTTTGACTCAAAGAGCAGTAGATGATGCTCCAAAGTGGTATTTTGCCATAGCCATGGTGATTTAAGGACATCTCAAAATCATAAAAAGGTGGTTCACACTGGAGACTTCAAATAGGAAACACTGTGGCATTTAGTACTGTCTAAATATTTCTGAAAATACCTGCCATTGCACAGGATACAGGCCAATTATAGACAGCTACACATCTTTTGCTAGGGTAGGTCAATATTTTCAAATGTGTTTCTTATTTTGGGACAGTTGGTGGTATCTGAAAAGGTTGAGCCTCCTTTGAAATACCTACCTGAAATCTAGCTTCATTTGGAAATTCTTTTTGGTTGAGCCTTTGTAAAACCTGGCTCTTTTGTTTTGCAAATGTGCTGGGCACTTAGAGCTGCCACTGACTTTATGTTTACATGTACCCTTGCAATGCACTTAAGAATCCTTTTCGTCAGTTCCAATGACTTGATCCAGACACTACTGAAGAAATGTTGAGTTCTTTCCATTTACTTTATGGATACTTGGGTACCCAAAGGGAACTCACTCCTGGGGGCCCTATGGTTTAAGAGGTCTCCTAGAGCAACTTCAAGTGACTGAACAAATCTGCTTTGGAACAGGAAGAATCAAAACATTAATTTACAAATAAATCACAAAGCTGTCTCATTGCTTTTGAAGAGTAGGATATGATTTCTTTAGGAGCCAACATATTGCCAACTCAGAGGAACTGGTCAGAGTTGCTTGGATCAGGAAGAATATGTGAGTTCATCTTCTACACGAGGTTAGGTAAGTTAAATTAGATTTTTTTTTTATATATTCTGTTTGCATTATAAAATGTGTAGGAAAAGGCCATCTTGAACTATGGCAGCAGATACTTTTCTGTCCTCAGGCATTTAGCCCAGACTGAACTCTGCTCTGTGCTCTTGGTCCTGCAGAAAGGTAGCACGTGCACGTTGGCATTGCTGTGTACTGAGAATACAGACAGGTTTGACCTATTTAGTGACATTTTCCAGTGAGAGTGTGCATCTCAATATTAAACATTTAAGTCTACACCATTTTGTGAGGAAGAAAACTGTTGATCAAAGATACCTTTCTTAAAAAAGCTGATCTTGATGTGAAGTTGAACTCTCTTAACAGAATTTCTGCAGCCGTCAGCATGGCTTGTTTCCATGTGCTTGAGACACCAACTCTGAATTTCTGAAGATGAAACAAAGCTATTCCTGTGCAATGTCAGTTTGTACTTGTAAAGCCTTTCATAAGCATTACTGTGTGTTAGTGGCTCCAAGATCTTCAGGGAAGAATTGTCTCATTCTTCTGCATTCTATAGTAATTGATATATTGGTATTACTTGAAAATACACATTGTTTTATTGTCACTCTACATATGCACATTCTAAAATCACAAGTCACCTTGTTTGTCTTTCTTCTGGCAAAGGTTCCACAGTTATTCTGTGTAAGGGTACACATGGAAACTTCTGTACACATAAGGCCTTCAGAAAGGTCCTCCATTCCTTTTGTGCATCTCAGAACTTGCCTTCATCCACCTGCAAGAAGAGGCCATAGTGCCATAATGTGACTCCAGCTTGCTTCATGATGAGGAACTCCTTGGATAAATTTCCTCTGACTGAAAAACTTTTAAGGAGCCTGTAAAGTAAAATGTCTTTGGTGATGGAGGAAAACTTGTTTTGACAAGGAAAAGCCTTACAGCCCCAAGGAGTGTAACTGAATGTATGTGTACATTTGTGCACGTGTATTGACTCTGCCCCTTTAAGAACTAAAAATTGTTGGCCAGCTGCTGCGGAGGTTGTTTGGAGCATGAATATGGTAATGCAGTAGTTGCCAGTTACAAAACAGCAGTTACTTTGGGTGATCTCTTATTTGGCTTTCACTGATTTGCATTCCTTGTATTTGTCTTTCATCCAAGATAAATAGCTGGTGCCTAATTATTGTGAGTATCAAGGGAGAGCCAGACTTTTTTGCCATTTCATCCATGGAGTCAGTCTGTAGACTAGGTCATCCAGAGCCAGATCTTACAGTTATCATGGCCATGATCTGTTCAGAGCGCCCAGAGAAAATGACTTTTTGGGGAAGGGATAAGAGACTTCAGACTAGGATATGTCAATGTCTTTTCCTATTCAATACACTGAAGACCTGTTGCTATCTCATCTGATAAGATTTTTGATTCTGAAAATAAATCAGTGAGGCAGAAAAAACTAACCAGTGCTGGTAACACAGCATATCCAGAGTCTCCTTTCATGTAAAAAAGACATCTGTAAAGAATTAGAAAAAGCTAATTTTTATGGTGTGCTGTCAGCCTTCAGTTCTTGCAGTGCTTATGCAAGGGTGGAGAGGCTCTTCTTGAACAGAAAATAAGTCTTTCTCATCAGATGGACTACTACATTGTTGTCATGTCAAACTCTCTGTCACAAAGCTCCTTAACAGGCACAGTTTATGAAAAGAACGTAACTATACCATCCAGCACTGCATT